TATAATTTGTGAAGCCAAGCGGAATGTGCAGGCTTTGTCGAGAATAAGTGGAATTCAAATCTATCTTCTTAAAACTTAAGGGACACGTGCTGGCCCACGCTAGTCGCCGAGAATGCTTTGATTCTCTAGATGAATAACTGAATCAAGTGAATTTCATGCCAATCCTACACGATTAAGAAAGCTCTGTAGAGAGCGATGGATGGGGTAAGGCACGTAATATATGATAAATATGCATCAAAATATCGCAGTAGAGTCGTATAAACCCTCGCACGTGTACGTAGAATTAATGTTACTAAAATTATGCGAATCTCAATTCGTTTATTAGAAAAGATCCATGCCGTGAAGGTTTCCGTTACCGGTAATGTTACGTTTACCTTGCGAATATAAATACATTATTGTCGTTTCCGTTACGTAGCTATAGCTATGGACACAGCAATGGCATATGGCTATCATGCGATGTAGGGTATAAAAATCAAATAACGATATTGGGACAAATAATCAAAAATAATATTAAATTAAATCTGATAGAGAAAATAAAGAAAAGTTCGCTTTCGTTGCACGCCTTAATTTATGCCATGCGTCAATTCTAAGGAATTTACGTCATTTGTCGGGTGTTATGATTCACCCGAAATAAATTTATGCATTGAGTAGCCTGGAAGCCACGGAAAATCTAATTACAAAAACTTTGTTTTTATTCATGTAATTAAAAAACAAAAACAACAAATTAGAATGTTCGGGTCGGACGAAGTCTATTACTTATACGTTACATTAGCTTAATCTACTACAATTCCTCAACAATCTTCATCACAGAATGTCAGAAATGACATCCTATTAATTTCCGTGAAAAGCCTTATACATATATGCCGGGTATCGAAGAGTAAACCTATTATGGTTAAAAAAGGTATATACAATATATATGAACTCGCTATTTTGTACAAATTTTCATCGTAAAGTACTTGTTGACGTGCAATGGCTTATTATACTCAGCCCTGTAAGATTCGGGTAAACTCATTTTGTTTTTTTCTATAGTGTTCGTAACACCCAAATGGAAGCTTCAGAGACTGTATAAAGTATATATGTATACTTGATCAGCGGGAAATTCTGAGTTGATTTAGCCGTGTCTGTCCGTCTGTCCGTCTGTGTAATGTCTGTTGCAAACATTCTCCTCGTCGCAAAAGGATAAATATCGACTTCAAATTTGGTAGAAACGTTGGAGATTTCTGCACGCAGGTTGATATTGCAAATGAACCAAATTGGTCAGAGCAAAGGCGCGCAATGGAGCTTAAATTGAATACAATTCCGTTTCTTTTTAACAAAAAATTTTTGGATTTTTGGTCGTTACTCGGAAATTATTAAAGTTATAAGGCTGAAATTTTCCACGTTTACTTTACGAATCACTCTACTTTTTACTTCCAAAAAAGGAAACAATCGACCACGCCCACACAAAGGTACAAGTAATTACATTTTTCTTTCTTTACTGATTGGAGGTTTTATGCTTATTTGTTATACGGCAAACATGACGGAATGCTTCAAACAATTTCCAGCACTCTTCACATGAATATATATTATCTGGCTGAAAGACGGTTAATATTCAAACGAATACGGAAGATGCCGCGATTACTTTTCTCTTAATAATACCAGCGATATGGGTATCAAATACAAGAACTTGGAGAGGAGAATGCGAAAAGCATTATGATGGGTATGCCAGATTCGACCCCAGCCGAGTATAACTTTCTTAGTTGCTGTTTTATAAAAGTGTTTATATGAGAGACGATTTGAGAAATTTTCCACATTGGTTTGTTATGTCAAAATACTCCTCTTTACCGATTTTTGTCGAGAATAGTAAAAATGAAAAGTTTCCTCACCACACTTTTGTTTATCATATAAATGCAATGTAATTATATTAATATATATAATGAATAAAAAATAAATATATATATATATATATATATATAGAATGTAATGTATATATATATATATATATATATACATATATATATAGAATGTGATGTAATAATTTTGGGCATGTTAATTGTGTTGCGTGTATGTTGTTAGCACAATGTTTTTATTTTTGAATATATAATAATTTTGAAGACGTCAGCAAATCGCAATTATTTACAATTTACACCACTTTGCTTGGAAGATTTTCAATTTATATGCAAACTTAACGATTCAGTGCAATTTTCAGTGCATATATCCCATATATATGGTCTGAAGTCATATTTTTCCTTAATTTATAATTTCTTCTATTTTTCTTCTACGATTCCATCATATCTTCAAAATATTTTATATGTACAAATGACTACATACCGCATATCATGATGGTATTGATTATGTTAGGCGCTAACTAGGGGGCAATCACATATGAAAAATGTCATTTTCACTATTGTATACAGCTATTTGATAAGAAAGCGAAAGCTGACTTTCAGTTACGATATCCACAAGAAGCTATTTTGCTTACGTCTGATTTGATAGCTTCGAGAAAGCGTTTCTCGCGCCTCGTATGCATACATTAAGCAAAAAAAATCGAAACCAGAAAAAGGAGGAACCTAGTTAACACCCATCCATAATCAGTGCTGAGATTTGTTCGCGAAAAGTATTTGGGTGAAAATTGTTAAAGTAAAGTTTCTTTACCAAACTTTTAAATGTCATTTCTTTGATTGGGACGAAAAGGATGAAGAAAAAACAAAATGGAAAGACATAGAGGGCAAACCAGTGTTGAAGGAAGAAAATTAATAATTCAAGATTATAAAAATTCAAAATTTCTTCGAGGGATAATCGTATTCCCGAAGCGAAGCCATTTAACCATCCCATATATAATAAAGCGATAGAAAACTGAAAAAGAGTTAAAAAAAAATCAAAAATATCCAGCGGCAAAATTTTCCTCGTGAATGGTGAACAATATATTTGACGGCAAGGCAAAAAGTAACCATTTTTAGGTGAGCCGAAAGTCTCAGAAATAAAAAATCTTGCCCACAAACATTGAACGGTCTATTAAATAGACATACACCACTTGTAAAGAGAAGAAATTAAAAAGCAGAGTTCCGATTCACCAAGGCACGCCAATCAAAAGATTTGTCAGTTTTAGAGAAAGTGCTATTCACTGACAAAAACAAGTTCAACATGCTTGATTCGGAGGGCACACAGGTCAAATGAAGCCCTGCTTGACCAAAATATGAAGCAAACAGTAAAGCGCGATTATAGGTCGGTAATTATGTTGGATTCACATTCCATTTCTGGGCCTGGTATATTGCATTTGCTCTTGGCTGTTATATCACTGTCCACATGTGATGGATATACCAGCCCAGAGTCCAGATATAAATGCTGTTCAGAATTTGTGCCCTACAATCAGTGCTCTATAAATTCCAAGGACGATTTAAAGAAAGCCCTTCAAGACGAACGGTAAAACGTTGAACTAAATTGTTCTGAAAAACTTGTTCAAAGTGTGTCAAAACGTAGCGTATTGCGAATACTAATATTTAAGAACAAAAACTAAATTTAGATATAGTGTTAAATAGGTAGATAAGTTTAATGGAATTCAAAATCGAAGTTTGACTATTTTTGCCAAATTATATTATATATAATTATTATATATTATATATATATTTATCTAAAATTTTTAAACGTTTTCTTTTAATGTAATAAGAAAGATCAATAAGTTTCTTTTTCTGTGCGAATTTCGCGCGGAGCTATTGTGTGATGTAAAAAACATTTCAAGTATTAACAATTAATCATAAATTAAACAAATAATTTATAAATTTAAAATAAATTGTTTTTATTGTTTGTTGCTTGTATATATACAAAATCATATGATCTGCTTATGATTCTCGCGAATCATTGTAAAAAACTGAAAAAATTGAGTCCCCACCCCGAAAGATGCATTAACGCTTGATTGTGTTAAGGCCACAATATTAGAAAACTGAACTCGTTGCTTTTATCAGTAACAGAGAAGGATGATAACCATATAGCTGAAATAAAGGTTCGGCTTTTAGCTATTTTTAACAAACAGCTAAATATTAATTGATACTTTCATACGTGATTAGTCCCCCAAAGTTATTAATGACAAAACTGGGAACTACGGTTATTCTACGAACTTTGCTATGTCCGCTATGGGCTCGGCATTGTGTTTTTGGCTTTATCAGGGAAATATATATGGTATACGCTGATCATATCAGTGCTCATATCTTTCGAATTAAGTCTAATTTTTGAAGTGGAAGCACAATTAGCGGCTTACTTCATTCATACATAAATACGTCGAAGGATGTTAAAAAAGCGTTCAGAAATCTATGAATATAAACAAAATCGAACATTATTGGATTTTGAATGAACAGTATATATGCTAACCTTTACATGGTACATTATAATTTGCCAGCTACACCTCAGAAAGCTTTTGTCCGTTCAAAACAAATTCCCTTTAAGCAATCATTTAAAATCATTTAGCGATGTTATAGTGAAATTATCAAAAATTCTACAAATAATTACGTTCCCAAAACTTCAAATATCATATTCTCTTCATAATCCCTTTTCACCGACAATAAGTAGTAATTAAGATGTGCTTACGAATTTATCGATATCATTAGAGGAAACAGCAGCAGCAGCGGCAGGAACAAACGTTTTGAAAGTTGAAGAATATTTCCATCTTCCGTTTTCTCTTAGCGATGTGTGCTCTCTCTCTCTCTCTCCCTCCAATTCCCGGTACTAATGGAATTCTGCGAACGATTTATCTTATATATTCTATTAAATTTAGAATTACAACGTTCTTATTTGCCCTTAAAAAGTGGCCAATCTGTAATATACATGAAGCACTAAAAGAGTAAAATTAACCATGTAATTTCTAACGAAAACTCGCTAATTATAGAAATTTGAAAAATGCGACCATGTTGTCATCGCTTACGATAACGCTACAGACTTTTGTCATCTCTGTCTATTATGATGAATACGACAATGTCATTTTATTAAATTCTGACATTAACTAAATATTTTTTGTGTATATTTATAAAAATTTATATAAGATTATATTTTTATAAAAAAATGGCACCGAGTAAATTGGACAGTGTGTATCGACGATTGCTACTTACACGTTTTTTTGACAAAGGGTGGGGAAAGCCAGAAAATTTGCAAAGGTATTGAAAAAACATTAAATGCATATGGGTGCTTAAATGCATGTTAGTATGTTGTGTTCATACACATAATATTCCAGCAAAGTATTGACATTTCAAATCCGCTTGTTTTAAACTACTTACTGCATTTATTATTAGATTTGCAATTAAAAAAAATTTATTTCATATTTTAAAACTGCAAAATTTATTATATCTTACGGTTTGTTTTTTCTCTTATTTTCGAATTTAAGCAACATTAATAACAACGTTAAGTGTGTGTCCGAATGAATTTCCATTATTTCACGAGTCAGATATCTTTGGTCCATGAAAAGATCTAAAATCTACATCTTCTTTATATGTCCAAAATAGCTTCGTATCATTATCAGATAAGGGGATAAATCTCTTTAGAGAATAATATTCAAGTTTTTATGACTTCTATCAAGGTTATATAACATACACGAGACCATTGCTTATTGGTCTTCTAAAAATACGTTACTTTAACTTTGAAATGCAAAAGAGTAAATCTTCAGTGACACCTTGCATGCATACGTATGATTGAAATCCCACACTCTTATACCGTAGATTATTACTATATTACGGAATAACTATTAAGCCGTAGTAACTGAAAATATGCTCTATTCTTTTCTATTATTCAAATATTAAACGAGTAAATTGAAATTAAATTCAAATGTATTTATGTAATAAATGTTAAATATATTTTTTAGGGATGTTATTCATGTTAATGTATTTGTTTTTGTGGTTGCGCTAGTTTGACGTTTATTAATTTTTACTTTAACTATTACGTGATACTTGTTTTATTACAATTTTTATAGATTATTTAAATTTCGAAAAATTATATCGCGGAGAGAAACTTGCTTTCCATTAATTCCGAACGATTATCCCGTAGAAATAATCAAAGAAGAGAAACATCAAGATTACACAATTTTGGAAGGACAATTTTTAACACCACTCGAATTGCATTTACCTGGCATTGTTCCGAAACCAGTACAAGATGCTCATTTCCAAGTAGTTATACCAAGAAAATGGAAGGATCAATATAAACCAATCTGTATTCATTTAGCTGGAACCGGAGATCATGTATGTGAGTGTACCGTATTAACTTGTTAAATAGATAATCCAGAATTTTAACATAGCTTAGAATTTTACTCTGACTCGTTTATTATTTATAGATAGCGTCAACCACATCGCAATATTAACTATTTCTAATGTTTCGAATTCGATGAGAAAACTTAAAAGCTCGCTTTGATTAATTGTTTTCGTATCATCTAAACGTATAAAATCTATTTTAATTAGAGAAATTCGCACTTGCTCTCAAAACAAAAACAAAAAATGAAAAGTCGATATTTTTTAATAAAGCTTAAAGCTGAAAGATGGTCAATTTTCATTGAGCGAAATAAGATTCGAATAAAGCTCTTCACGAGTTTAAAAATATTGATCAAAACTTTTTCTCTAATAAAAAATTTAAATCACGAAAAACCAAGAAGAACTTCATCGAATATATTCATAATGAATGACAATGGCATGAAAGATTAGCTTCGCAATTGTCCTTGCCTACTGTAAGAAAACATAATCCATACGCTTTATGATTTTAAGATTCGGAGAAATGAAATCCAAATAAAAACAAAAACCAAGTAAGTTAAATTCGGTCGGGACCGAATCTTTTATACCCATCAATGTTAACCCCCCCCAAAAAAAATACGGAAAAAGGCATAAAAGAACAAAATTCCTATGCTCTATAATATGGAGCGGACGCAGTTGATTTTTTCTATTTTCAACATAAAAATTTTTTTCGTATAGACATGTGGGCGTTGTGGGCGTGTCCTCTAAAAAGGTTAGGTCAATTCCAAATTCGTTTACAAATTTGTAAGCGGTATTTTCATTTTCGCTAACAGGGCTTGTTTCTGCGTGTTATAAAGGTATTGCCGAAACAATTAAATTTTGATACACTATAATATTAGGAAGGCGTGGTCCATTTTTCCCATTTTTATACGCAAATGCTACAGCATCCACCATAGAATATGCATTCAAATTTATTTGCTATAGTTTATGAGTAATGAGCGAAAAGCCAATTTTTCATTCCCTTTGAAAAACAGAGGTGTTCTCAGTTTACCTGATATTGTGGGCTCATTCCTGCTCCTTCCTGCAGCCCATTTTCCATATCAACCTGCGTGCAGGAACTTGGAATGCTTCTGCCGAATTCGAAATCGATAGCTTCATTTTTGCGGCCAGAAGAATGTTTCTAACAGAAATTAACACAGACGGACAGACAGACATGCTTAAATCGATATAGAATTTTACGCTGATCAGGAATATATATAATTTGTGGGCTCGCTGATGCTTCCTTCTGGGCGTTGCAAACGTTTTGACAAAATGAATATACCCATCATACTTCGGTGATGGCTAAAAAAAAGGCTTTTGGGCAAGTGTCTCCTTCATACAAATATGTATCACAATAAATTCTCTAAAGATATCCGATTAAAGAGAAGAAGGGAAATGGTGAATTTAAAAGGAATTTTTACCTTTCACTATTTGCCCGCTATACTACTGTTGTGTACACTTAAGAACGAATTCGATATAGAGCGAGGAACGAGAAAAGTTCTCTTAACTTTATGACAAAAATTAAATATTCGCACATGCTCGTACATATATATCTTAACATCCTCCTAAGAAACAACAACAACAACAACAATCATAAGATGCAGCACATATCTATCACCGAAATGTTGCGCATATATACTCATTTTGGGAAAATTTCTGCAATAGCCAGAAGGTAGCTTCAAAGATCTTATAATTCAGATCAAATTCTTAATCGATTTGGGCATGTCTGTCCGTCAGTTTTTCTAAAGCTATTAAATACTTGGGATATTGAATAAGACACGCCTACTGTAATACATAAGCACTCTGTTTTCATTGCTCATGAACTATAACAGACACAGCGGCAAAAATTTTTGGCCATATTCTATAAGCAATTTTATAGCATTTTTATAAAAGCTAAAATTAAATGGTAAAAAATCAGCCACGTCCACTTAATAGTTTTTTTCTTTTTTTAAGGTTTGGTGGCAACACTCGAGCATAATATTCTTGCTTCTTTCTTGCGAACCACTTTAGCGTGCATTAAAATTCAAATGTTTTCAGTTTTTATCTATAAAACAATTTTATTTATTTATTTATGAATATTCAAAGGCTACCAAATAATTTAGATCACAATGCTTGCCTCTCTTGAAAACTTTACCACACTGGAGATTTGAACCCGCGATCATTGAGTTGTTGGTCGCAATGCTTTGCCTACTCGGCTACTCATGCATAAAAGAAAGAAAAAACAATTTTAATTATTTACATTTTCATTCCCATTATTTGCGTACGGATAATTTTGATATTGTCTCTGACTACACGAATAATAGGTACATAGATATGATAAAAAATGAACTTCAAGACAATAATGATTCTTATTTACATTAGGATTATGTGTAACTAAGATATGTGATGTGTTTAATAAATAATGATATTTTACACAGGATTACCGGCCACAAACAATCATGAACACGTCATAACACTGTTTAAACTCGTATATGGCTTATGGCTTATGGTTTGACTAGTAAGCCGTGTCCATCTGTAAAACATGAAAAAAGAGATCGCAAGCCCAATTTATTTTTGCTCATCTTTCAATCATTGGAAATTAGTTGATTTTTATCTTTCAAACAATAATCTGAATAATATTAATGGCCTAAAAATATTTTTACATAAAGTATGTAATAAATAATTGGATGTGTTCACCTATTTATATCCTGTTCAGTTTTTTTGGAGACGAAGAACCCTCATTGCTAAGCCATTACTTAAAGAAGGCAATATTGGAGCCATAATATTAGAAAATCCATTTTATGGGGCAAGAAAACCGGATAACCAAGTGTACGTATATATATATATATATATATATATGTATGCAATTGCATATTTGTCCAAAACAAAAAAGTGCAGGTGAGAAAAATGCAAGTAAACAAATGCTTCAACTTCTTGCTCTCTTATAGACGATCCAACTTGCATAATGTTTCTGACATATTTGTCATGGGTGGATGTCTTATAATGGAGTGCCTAGTTTTATTGCATTGGTGTGAGAGAAACGGTTTCGGACCATTAGGAGTGACTGGACTATCAATGGGCGGACATGTGAGTATATGTGTGTAAAGCATTTGCTTATATTTGCCCAATCGTATATACCATATTTGTAATATTGTTAGTAAAAATGTCATTTAATTTTTGAACTAAAACTTAAATTAAATTTTTATAAGTTAAAGCTCACAAAAAGTATTGATACAATATTTCCATATACTTATTCCTTAATATCAAATAAATGATTTATATCGTCGGCTAACTGATAGGCCGATCTACAAGGGTTAACGGTATAGTAAATTTTTCAGAAAATTAATTCCTAGCTTATGCTTCGAACGTTATAATAGATTTGATGGCGAGGGGAAGGATTTGATTAGTTGAAAGAAATTTTTTCTAGAAATTTCGAGTTTTTCTTTAAAGTATTTACTACAGGGCAATATCTCACCTATTCATTTCTATAAAGTCGAGTCTTAGTTTCCAACGCAGCTATGTAGATTCTATTGTTCGTATTTGTCCACTGTAAGTCGCCAAAATAAACGAGTTTTTGTTTTCACTAGATAGATGAGGATTCAGTTAGTCTTTCATCAACTGTTCTATGTGGCGCGTGTTACATTCAAGTGTTTTTTTAACCTCTGAAATGGAAGGTCAAAAAGTGCATGTTTGACATGTAACGCTTTGGGAACTTAAACAAGGCAATAGCGCTAAGGCGACAACTGAAAACATATGCAGCATATATACGGTGAAGCACTGATAACTGATCGGGCAGTTAGAAATTGGTTTATTAAATTTCGTTCTAGACATAAGACCTTAACAGACGAGATGCACTTCCGACTTTGACGACAAGTTTTCAAAGGCTAATATTGAAGCAAAATTCACGTCAAACAACAAGAAGTATAGCAAAAAGATTGAATATCTCAAAATCAACTGTTAAATTAATATAATATTGTTATTCAGTTGACCTTATACCTTCACTGCTACAGATCTCTTTATTGGTTTAACGTGGGTACACTACCTCGTCGGTTTAACCCCACGTTGCCCGATTACACACGTGTTAATTTTACGCAACCGACGCCCTCCATAGACTTAGACAATCCCTATAAGACTAAACTACACTGGAGAAACCAGATATGTTTATTGTGTATGGCTCAATAAATCCACTCTGGGGAGTGTTGAGGCTTATTATTACCTCTAATTGTTCACTTTAGGAATGATAGAAACCACAACCACCCAAAGGATCGTACCCAGCATTCAGGAATCACACATTGGTTACATGCTGCGTTCAAACTGGGAATTGAACATACTAGCTTTCACCGCGTTTTCCACATCCATCCTTCGAAGGATCTTGGCAAGCATCAATCTACAGTAAACTAATGCTGTCACCTGTACTCGTAGGTATTCGTGACATAATGAGTTGTCTTCTGACCCCCTCGGAGCTTAAAGTTAGACTATAAAGCCTTTAGCCTTACTTTACGTGACATAGTCACTCTTGCTTTCGGATTAACCATACAATCCCGCCTAGTCAACACCGGACTACCCTTCTTCACGATATGTTAGAATCGGGTTCTACAATTGACATGGCAGGCGGTACGGTGCTCTCGACTATTACCACCATATTTTACTAACATATTTTAGTTATTGTTATTACTAACGTATTTTATGTAAGCAGTTACCAGCTGGTTCGTTAGTATTTCCTTCTTAGTAACAGTCTATGAGGAAAGAGTGCTTCTTCCAGTGCACCCCTGAGCTATATTTCAGACAACTTGTCAGCAAGTTATGGATAATTCAAGCCTTAAACTCTTCTTCGCCGGTCAAGACCGTTTCCAGGGACCACAACGAGGAGGTGAAAATTTCTACACGTTAAAGCTCCCCAAAAACCATAGATTATCACCCCTTCACTACTACATTAGCAGACACCTTTACAGACCTTCAGGCAAGGTTTATGTTCATTTTTAGAATCATTTTTAATGGAAACAAACAAAAGCATTACAGTCGCGCAAGGCCGATTATTAAATACCTTACAACATTTGTTTTCGTGGTAAAATACAAAAATTATACTTTTGTTCCTAATTAAAAGCATGCTTTTTATGGCACACGTTATATGGAGGAGAATCCCAAAATCGGGACTGATGTAGGCAACGTTGATCAGAAATGTACCTTTTTGTCAACAATTTTGTTAATCTTTCGCTATCAAAAACGGTAAATACTTTGTTGCCAAATAATGGTTCACTTTTCAAGAATACCCTCATACGGGATGAGGCATACGTGATCTACAAACTGCAACTATGAATCCGTTCTCACGGTCAAAAAATGAAATTCTACTTTTTTGTATCTTTTACGTTGGCTAATATTTATCGCTTATTTTAGGTATATGCGCTTGTTTCTTGATATATGTTAATAAGTTTGTCTCTTTTTTTTTTTTTTAGAAGGCATGGTGTTAAATACTTTTATTAATTTGCATAATAATCACATCAATAGTGATTACAATTTACTGCAACTTTTAGATGGCGTCATTAGCTGCAACAAACTGGCCGAAGCCAATTGTGCTGGTGCCTTGTCTATCTTGGTCCACAGCTGCTACGGTTTTCACAACAGTGAGTATTGGTGATTTTATTCTTCTGTTTTTACTATAAAAGACTAAGCCAATTAAGGATATACAACTTTCCAATTTTAAAAAAAGCATTCAGTAAGTTCTTAGCTTAGAAAGCGATAGGTGAAAAGAATGATTATCAATATTCGGAAATGTAATAATTTGAGAAGTTATGACTAGCGAGATTTCTCATTGCAGATTTTTTTTTTAAACGAAAACTTTATGTCGTCTTATTATTAAATGCGTAAATGTTATAATATCTTGTTAAATATTGTTTCGGTAGCACTTTCTAATTTTTCCACCCTTTTCTTTCTTAATAGGGGGTTATGAGTCAATCAATTAATTGGGATATGCTTGAAACACAGTATTATTCAGATGGGAAGTATAGAGAACGATTATCTAAAATGGTGACTATAATTGATGACGCGTTCACCGCAGGTCAGAAGTTCATGAAGGACTTTAATCAGAGTCTGATTGAATTGAAAAAAGATATCACATACACTAAACTGCTGCAAGGCACCAGCACGCTAAAAACAAGTGAAAACGTCATCAAAAGCAATAAGACGATTGAAAATTGTAAAATGGATAAATATTTTAATGGGATTGGCAAAAATGATTGTGTGACGCCAGAAGCTACTAAAGGAAAAATCGAATCTTCTTCAACATTAACAAAATTGATGAAATACATTTTACCGACTACAAGTCGCAACGCTAGTCATAGAATAGATATAACAAAAACTAATTGGTGGGAGCGAGAAGCTTTACAATTCATGAGAGGAATGATGGATGAGTGTACTCACTTGAAAAATTTCTCTGTGCCATATGAGACATCATTAATTATTGCAATCTGTGCAAAGGACGATGCATATGTGCCAAGAGAAGGATGCTCTAGCCTAGAAGAGATATGGCCAGGAGTTGAAGTTCGCTACTTAGACGCTGGTCACGTTAGCGCCCACGTATTACATCAGAAATTGTTTAGGTACGTATTTGCAGAAAAAATAATTACAAAACATTTTTCAAAAATAGCTTATCATAATCACGACGATCGACACGTTTCATCTTATAATGACTTTCCGAAATGCATCAGGTTTTATTTATAACAATTTTTACGTATTTAATAGAAAATACGTATAACGATCACATTAGTTTGCCCATTCTCTCCATACTTCAATCGAAAGAAGATCAGAGGATAGAGCACTATACCGCTAAGGCTAAGGGTTAAAGTTTCGGCGACTTATGATCGATCAATTAATGACTTATTTGCAATTTTTGGACATTTATATAATCCGTAATCTTGACCATGTTAAGATATCGCAGCATTTTCCTTAATAATGCAATGATCAACAGTAAAATACTGATTTGTTATATTCGGGTTTATTATGATGTTTAATTGGGTTAATGTAGCGCAATAGTCAACATGAGTGCACTACGGCGTATACAAATTAAACGAATTTGGGAAAGGCGCAGGCCAATAAGAAAATTATATTTTTTGAGACAATAATGTTTCTTGTATCCTTCGGCGGCAAAGGCAAAATTAGCTCGATTTCGTTTCATTTCACTAGTGACTCGCAGGTAGAAATTTGTTAAAAAAACAATCTGATCAAAAATTTTCGCATCATTTTAGTGTGCCGAGATATCACTACCCGAAGATTCGTGTTGACAATTCGACAATCTTAAAAACTGCCAATTTTTTTCATAATGAATATATGGAATAATGGAATAATGGAGATTAAAAATGACCCGATGCAAAAATTACGACCTGACGCTGTAGTGAACTTAAAAAGTAGAATACACAGACGGCCAAACAAGCTTAAATCCATTATAATAGATGTTGGCACAAATGTAATATAAACTTTACACACAAGTGGCGTAGGGTTATAAATACCTATATTCATTGTGACGAATGTAGAAAAATGTAAAGGAATCTAAGCAGACTACACGTTTTCATTAATGCGAGATAAGCTAACAGGTCGATCGCGCGATCATTTATGAGCCTAACATTTTTGGAAACATTATAATCTAGAAATTGTATTCGTATAAACATTTCATTTCAGATCTAGCATAATTGAAGCTTTCGAAAGAGCTAAAAAAATGCACAGCACTCGAAAGGAGGATTCGTCGGGCGATATGAATACTTCAAAATTGTCGTATCAACAACTTTTAAATAAATATGTAAACGCATTTTAACCTAATAACATTATTTATATATATTTTTATAAAACAACATCGTAATTTATATTTGATAAACTTTCATGTTTATGAAACATAATTTTTAAACAATTTGATTTTTGTATTATTTTACGTATGTTTATTTCTCTCTTCAATATTCTCGAACATCGCTTTCAGATAGTTCTCATCTATGAATTGTTTCACTGAATTAATGAATAGAGTATCGTTTAAACCTTGATGGCTTCGCGTTGTTCCTTTAAAAGTTAAAATCCTAATGTACTTTGTCTTCCAATACTTTGCATATTTTCCTGTAGTTGTCTTATATCTATTGGAAATATTTCTCTTTCTTCTTTAAAATAATTGATTTTGGGAATTTTTAAGACTCCGATCCATTCAAATCGTCTTATTCAGCTAAATCTACTAAACGTTACATAAATTTGTCTCGTCACACTTTTAATCGTTTCAAAAATCTCGCATTTCGCTGTCTTTAGCTTGGCTGTGAACTATGCAAGTCTTAGCCGATTAAAACGGCATTTAGCCATTTTTATAAACAAAATATGGTAATTAGATTATTTTAGCTTGAGAAATATCTACGAAGGTCTAATCAGGACGTCTCGAATGTAATAGATGCTAGCATGTATTTTGATCAGAGACACCCATTGATGAAAATGATAAGTAACGCGAAGTGTCAAAGTACACAACGGTTAAATCCGATGATTTTAACCTTTCTCAGCACAAAATAACAGCTTTCCATTTAGCATTATTGAGTTATTCAGTGTACACACACGCTGATTATACAAAATTGCATTCTCAGCGTTCATTTATTTGGTTGTTTGATTTGGAGAAATCTGCTGTCGAGCCCATCAAACGCTATTAGAAGCTTATAGTAATGCTGCTCCATCACATCGCAAGTGTCGGTCTGGAGGACCAAAAAAGATCGAAGACGACGAATTGCAAGACTTATTGAATGAAAACGCAGCTCAAGTTCTCAAAGAAGTTTCGGACAGCTTAGCAGTTAAGGAATCTAGGCGTTTACGTGCAATGGGAAAGAGCCAAAACGGAGGGAAAACGGCGACCATTCAACATCGCGGTTTAATTGCTTGCCAAGCAAAAAAAAGAGCTTTCTATGGCGTATTGCTACTAGCGATGAGAAGTGATCAAAGTCATAGATATTAGTTGAAGAAAGCTATCTACATTGACACAGAAGCGGAATATTCAAGCGTTATGAAGTTTTGCTGTCCATATGATACGAAGATGTAGTGTATTACAAGCTACTAAAACCGAATGAAACTGTCACTGCAGATGTCAACCGACGTCGATTGAACAAATTTGAACGATGTATTATTGCAAAAAAGACCAGCAATAGTGGTTAACAAACATAGTGGTTTGCATGACAACGCTCAACCGAACGTGGTAACAGTTGTCAAGGATACATTGTTTCAGCTCCAATGAGAAGTTGTATCGCACCCAGCGTAAACGGTTTCGAAATGCTGGAGCGTGAAAATGGCTCTATGATTGGAGCGCTGTTATACGAATATCGCTCTTGATTGAAAGAATTTGTAGAAAATTATGAAAATTATTATGTTCAATATATATATATTGGATAAGTTATTTCAATAAACGCCTTTTTCAAATGAAAAAATGATCAAAGTACATGTAAGCACTTAATATTTTGACTAGCATAAGATTTTGTTACGCTCTCTTTGCGAGCTACATCTCAAAATTTACCACTACCCATATCAGATGATCGTACTGCACTGCAATTTTCAGATGTAATTTGATTCGTACTAGACGTCATTTAAAAAATGGTGGCTGTGGTTTCACACTAAGTAGAAGAATGAAAGTCACCTTAAGATTGTCTATAGATAAAAAAAATTTCATTACCTTATGCTAAGATCTTATTTCGCATGCAGGCGTACTATTTGAAACTTAGGGATCTCATATTCGATTTTCTGTGAGGAAAGATAGAATTAAATTTCCTTGCAAACTAACAACAAATAAACAATCAATGCAATGTAACGCAATAGAGATTGTGTTGTGTCGTAAAATGTATTATTTTCTGCACTATTACAGTTTCACATCTTCAAGTCAAAAAAAGATTTCGAATTCCGCAGCAATTTTGAACAGTTTTTGCATTATGTTTACGTTGATTTTTATCGGCCACTTTACACTCATTGAATGCTTTGCGAAATATTTCCATTAATATTAAAAAATTTGCATTCATTCATTATTTTTTATTATCTGAAATTGGAAAAAGAGTTTCCCATGCCCAATATAAAGTAAAAATTTATCCTTTTCGGAAAAACGAATTACAAAGAAGAAATCTTTTTTGGATTATTTCTTTAACAGTAACAAAATTAAAATGACACGCAGACCAATGTTTATGTAAAACAAACTTAAGTTGAAATTTTCTAGCAATTTATGATTTTATATAAAAATTGTATGTCTAGTGTATAGCATTATTGAAGTAATCAGGAAACTTAAAGAGTAAAGTCTGTATACCCTACGGTCGAAAATTTATACATTACTCGGATTGCTATTTTTCAAATTTCGAAAACATTAGCACATATGTACTATCTTATTCTATTCGTTATCAGGTGCATTTTGCGCAGTTATCTTAACTTAGTTCCTAGAACATAATTTAAGGCGTTTATTTTGTTTAATTATACAAACTGACCTAAATGAACAACTGTTTGTGAGAAGCAACCTGAAGTAACCTGAATAATTTCCATATTCGCTTTTCGATCTTTGAAGTATTTTCAATAAAGAAAATTTTTTTATAGTTTTTGTGGTTCTTGGTAATCTTTTTACAATTCCCATTTATTGCAAATAACGTTAATTCTTTGCTAATTGTTGTGATTGTGGTAACCCTGCACACTATTCGCATAAGTAAATTAAAAAAAATATTTATCCGATCACGCGAAAAAGTTAAATTTGAGATTTTATAATTTTTAATTTTTGTTTTGTAAGAGATTATGCCTCCACCAAGACCTAGAGGTATAGGATGTAGCACTGGAATTGTACCAGCCAGGCCCAATCCAAACACACCAATGTCGGAGCGGCAGCAAATGGCACTCTTAATACAGATGACTGCATCGTCTTCAGGTAAATAAAGCATGAAATTTTATAATAATGCACTTATAAAAACTATGTTTAAAGGAAAGAGAACTTCGATTTAAATGATAAGTAATAAAGAATCAAGTGTTTTTCCCGTTTCAATTGTACGCAGTTTATTCTACTTTCGTGGACTACTGGTTTACTAAGGTATATCCATGTTAGGACCGATTGTTATTAGAAATTTCCAATTCCAATTGAAGTAAAGAAATAACTTCTATTATGATAATAAACCGGGCTGAGAGTACGACAGATCCATTATGAAAATGAATCAAACTCATAAGAACTGCGCATAGGACGATTGCAATAATTCCGTACCGACCAACAATTTTTATTGTGCTGGAAGATTCACCTTAAACAAATGTGTTCATATTAAATGTATTCTGTATATCGTTTATTTTATCACATATCCTAAATTCCGAATTATAATCAATCGCTTTTACTGGCTTATAGCAATTGAATGAAGAGACAATTCAATTGTCGCAGAATTTGTTGTTAACTTTTTACCCAAAGCTTAAAGGCTATAAACCAGGGTTATAATGAAAAGTGAATATCGCTTATTAGGATCATCTAAGTAAGCGATTTATACATTGCCCATTATTACCCTATAATTGAATATATATTCCAAGTACCCGTTATCTCTGCATTACTTTGAAAGAACCACTTGTATTTTTTCTTTTTGTTAATAAAAATTAATAGTTCAGGCATTTTTATGACGCTTCTGACAGTTATACTTGATATTCAATATTAACAGATCATTCGCGATCTTACCAAAAGACTAAAAAGTCCGATGAAATGGAAGATACGCATGTTTTAGAGAAGTTGGATGTTAAAGACAAAACTGATGAACTAAATAGTGATAAGAAAGACAATTCATTCGAGGTTGGTAATTTAACGGAAACGACTTCGGGTACCAACAAGCGAAATTTTTCCGATATCGATGAAGAAGATTGTGATGATAACGACGAAAGTAAAAAGAAAAGGCGAAAAGACTCTGACACGATGAAAGACAAGCAGACAGCTAATTCGCGAATTGTAAATCGAACGGAAAAAAACGTAAAGTCATCCACTTCAAAAGGCGCATCATCATCTAACAAAAGTGGCACAACTACGGATAAGGACGATGTAAAAAACAAGTCGTCCACGTACGATGCGGAAGCTGATGAGGAAGACTTGAAAAATGAGGTTCTTTACAGTGGTGGCCTTAAAGTCCCGCCCCTGAAAATAGTAATACCACAACAGAATTGCACTATTGATACAGATGGAACCGTTTCGCGCACCGGTAAAATAAGTGTCTCCAGGAATGCGGCTTTGCCATATGTTGTTAGCTCTAATAATGACTGTAGTGACGGACTGCCATCAAACGCAAGTCCCCGCGACAGTCCAAATAAAGTCAGCACTTCTTGCAATGTAATGGAGGAAAAGCATGGGAAGCTCTTCAATGAAGATAAAAATTTAAGAGTCTTAAGAAGCGCTCATCGTTCCGGTCTAGCTTCCCATGATAGAAATTCAAATAATCCATCCCCTCAAATGCAAAGCAATTCACCGTCGCCCGCTTCATCAACAGCGGCCGATCCTGTCGATAATAAAATTTCCTACGCAAATGTATCAAACAGCCCGCCTCATCAGAGCACATGCTCAGAAAACGAAAATATTGTTAACTTGCCCAGTCCTTCAACATCTTCGACGTCATCGTCAAAAGAAGTAACTGGAAACAATGTTGAGCTGCATCCAAGAAAAAGAAAAATTCGATCTAAAAATGAGGATGTGAAGTCCAATTCTAGTAACAATTCAAACAATGAAACGTCCCTAATATGTTCAGAATCGCATCCGCATGATTTGCCATTTACTAACTGTTTTCAAATGTACATGAATATAAGACGACAGATTGAGAAAAAATGGAAAAATGTCTTCCCTGTTAAGCCGCGGCCTCCCCAAGGCTATGACGAATATCTTATTAATACAAAAAACTACACCTTACACTCGAAACAGAAAGCACCAGACCCTATAACGCCCAGCTCCACACCATCAAAAATGAAAGAAATATTTTTAATACAAGAGAAGGAAAGACTAGAATTGTACCAGCGTCATACTGTCGAAAGGGAAAAACTTTGCTTAAATGTGGAACAGGAAATCATACGTGTCCACTCAAAGGCGGCCCGAAGTATATCATGCCAATCGTTGCCATTTTCTGTTTGCACTTTCATCAAAGATGAAGAAGTCTATAATATTGTGACACCAGAACAAGATGAAAAAGATAAAAATGCCCGATACAGGTTTAACGGAAGATTGCTTTTGAGTTGGCTACAAGATGTCGATGATAAATGGGAAAAAATTAAGGTAAGAGACGTATCTCTGAGAAGCTCACTAAATTTTACTGCCAGGTGTATAATACCACATCAAATTTGACTATTATTTGAAAAGGCTCGGACAGGCTTGTATGTTTTCATCTCTGGCTGCAGATTCTAGACGATTTCATTTGACGAAGACACACTGTAAAATGTTCAGATAATATTCTCGAAGTTAGGACTTTTTAATTTAAAGAGAGAGAATCGTGTTAGAAAATGGTATTAATAAGTGCTTTGTGCGAAGTTAATATGTTACCAATTTTACTGACGCATTTTAATTTAGAAAACTGCTGCGAGAAGACTAAATTATTAAATATAAGACTTAATTTATATATTTAGAAACTGCATTCTAGATATGAATAGGTATTTTAGAGACTTGGACCAATTTTACAATATGAATTAACTGTGTTTAAAAATTTTATTAATTTACAGGAATCCATGATACTGAGGCATCATAATGAAGCGGAAAGTTTACATGCTGTTCAGTTAATGGATTGGGAAATTGCTTTAAAAAAGAATGACCTTTGCGGCTATGACTCACAAATCGCCGTGGAAAGCAGTCACGTACCAATAGTGCAGGTGGAAGACTTTGATCTTTTGCCAGCCTAAGCATATTTATCTACAAATAAAATATAAAAGAAACTCATAGAAATTACTGACAATCTCTCTTGTCAACTAAAAATTTAAAAAAAAAAAAAAATTATTTTGTGATCAATTTTACTCTTTTCTAAGTGTACATATATATTTACACATTGCGGTAGGTGCGTCTAAGTTAAATATTAGAATTTTATTAAAGCAAAAAAAAGAAAAAAAAAAAAAAAACAGAAAATTTTCAGTTAAAATTGATTTTTTTTAGTAATATACTACTGTGTATAGAGCCCTAAAGAACATTACAAACAATGGATCGTAAGACAAACGAAAAGTCAAAATTCTTACCATTATTAATGAAAATATCATTAAATATATACGTGCACGTGGGTTAATTACGAAAATATTTTGAAATCCTTTAACATTATCTTCGAAATCTCCATTGACTGCAGCTATAGGAATTAATTAATATTTAAACTTTATATTTAGTTTAAAAAAAAAAAAAAAAAAAAATTTTTTTAAATTAAAATTTGCTACTTTTAGGAACTGTTGCCAGGCAGCATTATAGCTTCGTTGGCCTTGTATGTCATACAATTTAATTTAGTGAATGTACTTGCATGCAATGCCGCCTACATAAGGTCGTTTATATATATTTTCAAACAATTTTACATAGCTTTGTTGAAAAACACTAGGCCCTTTGTACAGGTTTGTTCCAACGATGTTAATTTGATTCTAAAAGAAGCCACTAAACCCACAGAAAAGAGATTTTCTAAAAAAAAATCATTCGTATGGCTTTGTCATGAAATAACTCGGAGTGTATCATCATTAAACTTTGACCTTGAAAAAATTTTTTAACGTAAATTATATAGATTGGGTATGTAATGCAGTTTTATCATCATTGAAAGGATATTATCTAGCGTTTTATTTTGTCTTAAACTGCTAGTTGATATTAAATTTAACAATTAAATATATTGCATATGAATTGGATAAGGCTCTTTGGAGATGCAAGTTCTTCTGTATATTACTGGTCGACTCTTTTGCAGCATATCTTTATTGTTTCGACTTCTGATGGCATTTATCGCATATCGCCACCAAAGTTTTTGTGGAGTATTTATTGATTTCTAAAAAGGAAAAAAAAAAAATTGGATTAAAATATGTATTGTTCAATCTAGGAATCTTAAAATTGAAACAATGTTTCATTGTTATTCTGAAATATTAGTTTATATAATGCCAACAGGGCTTTATAAACTATGGTATCAGACTTCAAATTTATTATTGTAGTAATATTTAATGTAATGAAATGAAGTCGTAGACGAAATTGAGGCAAGACAGCATGTTAGTTCAAATACATTTTTAATATAATGCAGCCTTCCTTAAGGGAGAGTTGAGAATGTCTTTTCAGTTAGTTCATTCGAACATCGAAGAGACTCGCGCAGTCATCAAGTAAAGGGATTTTGTCGAAAATTGCAAACTTTGATGAATCCGAGTTGAATTCTTGGCAATAATTTAGTTTTGAGTTTACCGACATAGTGCAAATGGGAGCAATGTCGATATGTCAACCTCAAAATTATTCACTATCGCTGTCAGCAGCTTTCTCATTTCCGGAAAGGCAATATAACCTAATGTTCAATTCGATTTATTCCTCCAAGTCTGGATAAGAGTATCTATCTCTCTTATCAATGTTCATCAAATTATGCTTTGTTTTTTACGTCACTTCGTATTAATGAATTCATCCTTAATTTAATTAAGGTAAAAATATAAAATTACCTACCTTTAGTTTTGTCGATAAGTAGCGTTGACAATAGCGTCTTTTATAATTAAATAATATTGGATGATTATAAGCCGACAATTGTCCAATATTTGATCGAATATCACTGGCATGGGTAGGTTGTTTAAGTCGATTCAGCTGAACGAAAAAAAAAAAAATAAATAAATAAATAAATTATGTCTTCAGATATAATAGATTCTTAACTATTTCAAAGTAAACTTTTATTTGTTACTCATATATTAAAAAATTTTCGATATAGCAATATTTGCAATTAAAACGTAGTAAATAGCTTCGTCTCTCTAACTCTTGTTCTCCTCATCAACTTAATACAATTCTTGTTGGTATAGGAGTACATTCAAATATATAAAGCTCTCGCTAATAATTATTGATACGAAACATTCGCATCATATCAGATTGAGGTCTACTAGGATAGATTGGTAGCTGATCGATAATATATATAAAAATTTTAGTTTTTCTTTTAGACCTGAACATTTGCTTAGCGTCGTCATTTCGAAATTGATTTTAGTGGAAGCGTCGCTGTCGCATTGAGGGGCGACAATTCAACGCGCTGCACAACTATTTTTAAACACATAACAAAAAAACAAATCAAACTTGTTACCACATAAAGGACTTGTTCACTTAATATGGGAGGGCATTCGGAAAAATTCTATATGGGCCAAATTGAGTGCATTGTAAGTCTGTGTCTTGAATCACTATTGCAGATGAATTTTCATCATAAAATACTAACAATTAGATCTTGTTACTGTTTAGGGCCATGTTTTTTTGGAATTATTTTTATATTCGACGAGATTCGCAATAACGTGATCATCCCGTCAAAATTTTCCTCATTCATTAACTGTGCCCACATCAAATTTTTCATCTATTATTGTCAAGAAATATTAGAGATAAGTACGATCATTATAATTGGGCAAGGCCGACCATTAAATACCTTACACGACGTTGTCTAACATCATCCTTATTTTTATTATAGAATCCAAAAATTTTATCCTGTATCTGTATAAAGGCATATTTTTCAAGTGAGTACTTATGGAGAAGCGGGCCAAAAGCGCAACTAATTTTCGTAATAGTAAAAAAAGTAAACCGATCCGAACCATTTTCACAGCGGTTCTCTTTGGGTCAAAATACGTTACTGCATCAAATTTCATCGAAATATCTCAAAAATTGCGACCGGTAGCTTGAACATACAATTTCATGGACAGACATCAGACGTATAGACATGCTTAGATCAATTCAGATTATGATTCTGAATCGATCTGATAGTAAAAGGTCGGTCTATGTTAAGGCGTTCTGCGTATTAAGTTGGTACACCCCCTATCACAAGTGGTTGCAGCTTTTCGTTTGGTCGATTCAGTTGTGAATTGCAGGGTGCTAAAAATGGATGGCAACAAAGAGAAAATTCATTACATTTTTACCGTTTTTCATTGATAAAGGCGAAAATGCAACGCAAGTGGCTAAAATTGCGAATAGTGTTTATGGTCTCGTTCAGGTATTTTTGATACTAAAAATGCATTTCGAACAAGAAACGGCCAGAATTGGCAAAGAGGAGCGGTGTTGTATACCATGAGGACAACACCAGGCCAGGAATGCGAATGTGACTCGTCAGTTTTTAGTTTTAATGGCGTGCATTGCTTTGCTCTTTATTCCCCTATGATATTTATCGCTTTTTGCACCGCCCTGAACACTTTGTCCCTGATAATTGCGATGTTTAAGCTGCACACATAAACGCATTGATTGAATCAGACGAACAGGGATACTTAAATGTTACCTACGTCTACACAAACTTAATATACCCGTACTAAACAAGTGCTGCAGATTATACGAAATCTCAAAGCACACATACACTAGGTACTTTCTCTTTTTGAAATCTGTCGAAATATATTATAAACTCGAACGTAGAAACGGACCATCGTTTCGGATCGTTTCTCAGTTGGCATGTATTTCATAGTTTAATATAGTTTATGTGTCTGCAAGGTTGAATACGGATAATTCATTTAATTATATTCCAAGTAGTGGAAATGCATCGTTTCCTACTCTTTCAATCATTATTATGGTGATTTTCAAATATTTTCTCAAAAATCAAAATTCAACATTTAATCGAAACTGCAAATCGATGTAAACCTATTGAAATCCTGTCCAAGTTTGCTTAGGCGCATTTGCGTTTATTAATCATGAGATATCAGTTTCTTTGGCGAACAACAAAAATTGCAAATAAACGAAGCCAACCACAAGTTGCTTTTGTTTTGCGTGGCAGCGCGCAAACAAAACAACTAAAGGCAGACAAGAAATCCACAAGTCGTCGTCATACGCGTAAAATCGCTTACCAAATTGTTGATATTAGGAGAATGCTTTGGAGCATCGTGATCAGGTGAGAGTTTAATAATTTGCTTTTCGACATTGCTTTCTTGCTGCTTAATAATTTTCGTTTTTATAGATTTGCTACTTTCCGCTTTTCCGAATAAGCCACGCTTCTCTGCCATTCGAATAAGGAATTTCGCATTAAGTTTCGTAATGTTTTTGCGACGCAATAAGGAAAGAAAACAACCCGTTAGACGAGATTTTAAACAATTGTCACGATTCTTGCACATATTCGGTATATCGACACAAACGAACTCATCTACATCGGGAATTTCTACGCACTCGGCTTCAGCCTCGATCTTAGCGAGAATTTCTGCTAATAAAGACTCTTTGCTAACAAGCGTACAGTCAGGATTTCTTTTTCTGGGCGAATTCGATTTGATTGCAGCAGACGGTACATTTCCGGCTTCTAACTCTTCCATAGCCTCCAGCCGTCTTCTCTCCAAAAAATCATTTTTATGCTTCTCCAAAGTGTTTGCATTCATCGTCTTTAAAGCGTAATTAACCATATCTTGATTTTCACTACTAACTGCTGAATGTGTTTCATAGAGTAGAAATTGTATTTGTGGTCTCGACATGGCCAAATGCAATGTCGATAATTGTTCATGAAGTATGAGAGAGACGCGATGCTTGCCGTCATCACTAATTGTAGCCTCAGTTAATATTTCCAACATATTCAAATCGCCTCCGCGGGAACAAATTAAATCGATTGGATCTGATATCGCACTAAATGAATTGGGAGGATTTGCAAAAATTCCAACCACTGTTCGAAATCGATTCGAGTCCAATGATAATGAACTGAACGATTCGCCAAACAATCGAATATTATTTATTTCAAGTAATTTCATGTAATCTCGATATTGCTGGAGATTTTCACCAGCACCATAAACATAATAGTTGTTTACACGATTAACCGAATAAAATAATGCGGCTAAGTAAGCTGCCGATCGTGGCGAATCGATATGAGTTTGAAGTATATCGCCAGACATATCAAAATAATCCAAAAGTCTTGACATTACTGCAGGGCCCAGTGCAAAGGCGCGATCCTGAAACAACGAAAGAAGAGAACACCTTTAATTATTCAGATCTAAAAGAAATTTAAAAAAACGGATTTATGATTTAAAGTCGAATTAAGATTTGCTCTCCTATGACGATATGAATTTTTAAAGCAATTATTTGAACTTGTCCGTCACGCACGTCTAAGTCTAGTCTAGTGGCTTTCCCGGGGATTTTGACCAAAGAAGGCGAATAATTTCTGGCGAAATACCCTTGAATTGTTTCTGCGTTGGAATTCTTTTCGATGTTGAAACCGCTAAAAATGAAGCAAGAAATTGTGACAATAATAAATTCTTAATGCTTCGATTTGCTTACGTCCTAATGACGTTCCCAACGCCATTTTGTCAATGGTGATGCCTTTAATCTTGAATGTTTTTGTTATATAACACAGCTTCCCCGGAAATTTGCTTATATGAGCGCTCTGCATAATCTTGGTTTTTCATACCCTACACCACTTGTGGTACAGAATATATTAAGTTAGTGCGGACGTATATAACACGCAGAAGGGCTTAACATAGACCCACCTTTTGTTGTACCGATCGATTCAGAATCATAAATTGAATTGATCTGAGCTGTCCGTCTGTCTGTCTAACGTCTGTCGACATATAACGTCCTATTCTGCAAAGTTGTTATATGGAAAAAATTGCAATTTTTAAAATGCCTCAGCAAAAGTGGCTAAATAGTAGCATTTCGGCATTCGAAATTGAAATGAAAATTGTGAATCGGCTGTGGTAATTTTCTAACTGTCCCCTATATATAAGTTTCAATGCTTCATGATGATAATTATATATATCAAAGTGGCAATTTAATATAAAAAATTTAAATGTACCAAATTTGGACCATCTCGGCCTGTTTTTTTGATCCTAATCTATAGTAAGTATTTTCACGAAAATTGAACCGTTGAAGAGCAGAAAAGTCTTAGTTTTAATATATGAAGATGATTTTTAGAGATATTTTTTTATTTCAAAATGTATGTAAATAACTTTTTCCGCTATACAAAAAATACCTGCCCGCATAATTTACAAGTTGCATTATCTAGGTCGTTACAATAATAAAAGCAAAATTTGGAATTGCAAAATAACTGTCGCTAATTATGCTGATTTACACTTTTCTTTCCGCATTTATTGTTTGCATTTACTTATGCCCTAAAATACACAACATTGTTATCTATCCAACGGTATATTTGTTGTTTTTATTGTTATTCTTTTTTACTTTTAAGAATTATATATATAAGCTTTCATTTAAATGAAGAAACTAAGCATTTAGCGTTAAACAAACATCTGAATGCATTTATCGGTATCTGTCGGATTGAAATTATTGCTGGGGTACTTGCAAATCGCTTTACAGTACCTACCGTGCCCGCTCATTGACTAGGCGAGATTAAGTAATAATTAATTTTGATCAAATTATATTCATAATTAGTACAATTTTGATGCACAAATTTGGTACACTGATGTGTTTTGGCTCGGACCACTACTTCGATCACTTACTTTGAATAACTGTATTATGCGAAGTGGTGTACGATATATAACTATAGCAAAATAGGAATATTAAAGCTAGATGCTTCTCGGAAGAATGGACATACTCTTAACGAACGCCCATACATATTTCCTAAAGGACGGACATATTACAGACATATTGCAGAAAGTATATTTTTTAAATTCTTCTTTTATGCATTTTCTTCTCTTCTTATATTCCAAAGTTTAGCTGAGCTAGGTTAAGCTTAACATTAAGACACCTACTTTCTGAGGGTATTGCAAGATTTTTAAGGGCTTTTTGACCAGTCTAACAATGATTATTAAGTGAAAGTGTTTGTCTCATATCGTTTACCGTACTTACCTGTAATATGAAATAGTTTCCGATGACAAGACCCGATTTTGTGAATTCATTTCGGTCTTGAGGGACGCATGATATAAACAATGGACAAACCGTATCCCAAGCAAAATGTGCGTTTGTTAATGTGCTTCCATTTGCAGCAATCTTAAATCCATAGTCATTGAACAGCTGCTCGGCGGACTGTTTATCCCTAGAATGAAGAGAGCGTTGACAGATATTCGCAAAATACTAGATTTTCTCTTAATTTTAGTGGTTGTTTAAGCTCACAAGTCTAATCTAAAGGCTTCCCTTACGTAGTCAAGTTAGTAAATATTTATTAGCTTTAAATCTCATTTGCGATCTCATTTTTATAATTTTTTCTTAATAGTAGACCAAAAATGATTCTAAGGTAACCGATTGATGTTGATGTGTTGGCACTTTTATGACTCTTCAATAACCTGCACAACTTCGCCTAATACAATTCTTAGTCTATGCAAGAGTGCGACTAAAACGTCATATGAGATGGTTCAGATTTCAGAAAATGAATTTTTTTTGCATTTGGATTCAAGACAAATCAAATTTTATTGAAATGTCTTTAAAATTGCATGCATAAATAGACAGTCGAACAGACGAACAAACATCCTTAAATCGATAGTTAAAATGATTCCAAATTAATCGGTACAATAAGAGGGTGCTCCATCTTAAACCTTTCAAGGTATTACGTGCAGTCGCAAAAGCTTTACCTCGCCCGTGCTACAAGTTGTGTAAGATGTAATTAAAAACCTCGTATCATTTTGCGAAAATATTTTCTCAAAATTGGATGAATTGAAATATAATTTCATTAATTACTTTACTATGAAGGGATTAATCCAACCGGTGACCAATGGATTTAAAATGGCTTTAGCCACTTTATCATTTTGCAAATGTATCGGTAAAAGATCAGATAGCCTTAAAGCGCAGTATTCAATACGCATTCTTGAAATTGAGGCAGCAAGTTTTGTTCGAAATTTCCATATGCATTCGGCTACATCTGGAAAATAAAAAAAAAACAAATTTAATGAATAAATTTCGCGGGTTAAGTGACATATTGCATCTAAACCTTCGAAGCGCTTTCCCGAGATCACGCTTACGACTTTCAATTCATAGATACCTAGCATATAGCTAAATTTTACCTTTATATATATATATATATATATATATATATACGTGCAGATGTACTTATTTACATATATATGTAAGTATATAAGCATACAAACATTATTTATAAGTACATCTGCAAATATCTTATTTGATGATCCAATTTTATCCATTTTTTTCCTATAGTTTTCGAAAATACCGTCTTAAAGCTTATAAGTTACATGAAATAAACATAAAATTAACATAATAATAATAATAATAATAATAATAATAATATAAATAATTAATACATAAATAGCTTCTAATAATAGAGTCCTAAATTCGCCTTTGGGTTAATTCGTGTGTGTGTGTGTGTGTGTTAGCATCCTTCTCAATAAAAATGACTATGACAGAAGAAGAATTTATACTGAGACTAATAATATTAGGTCGAGTGATAAGCAATTTCAATCAATACAGCTAAGTAGAATCTGTTGTCCGTATTTACCCACTGCAAGCCACCGAAACAAACGAGTTTTTGTGTTCACCATATGGATGGCGATTCAGTTAGTCTTCTGTCAACTGTTTTATGTGGTGCATCTTACATTCAACTGCTTTTCTTTACCTCTGAAATGGAGAGTCAAAAAGTGCATATTCAACATGTGACGTTTTGGGAATGTGGACAAGGGAATAGCGTTAAGAGGACAAGTGACAACATATGCAGCATATGCAGTAAAGGACTGATCGGGCAGTTAGAAATTGGTTTGTAAAATTCTGTTCTGGAGATATGACCTTAAAAGGGCGGACGCCTTTCCGACTTCGACGACAAACTTTTATGGCAATATCGTCGGTGAAAGACATTCGCTTGATAAGATTCAACCACACTTACTGGATCCATAAACAAGCATCCACGACAAAAAGATTTTAGTGTGTGTACGGTGGGATTGGTGAGGCATAATTCATTACAAGCTCTTGAAATCAAATTTAACGGTTACTGCGGATAGATACGTCCAGCAGGTACACGCAGTGTAAAGGAAACTGCATAATAATGCGCGACCGCTTACAGCAAGGAAGACAAAACTCTTGGAATGGGAAAAGCTTCAATTCTGAAGACAAAGTCTCTCAGCCGTTGAAAATTCCTTCCAGTCCAAACGAACCGCAAGAAAGAAATGGATGAACTGCCAGGAAGGTGGGAGAAGATCCATACATAATAAATTAACATAATTTTGTTATTGTTAATGAAAACAAAATATATGTGTGATAAAAAAACGGAAATTATTTGTGACTCGACCTAATAATATTATCTACTTAATGAATATGAAAAAAAAAATTAATAAAAACGCTTTTCAATAGATTTTCTTAAATATATATAAATATTTTACCTGCTACCTGCACTGCTTTATACAATTCGTCTTGATGTTGTGACTCGTCTGCACTTCTGTTTTGAAACGATCTTTGATTTAATTCATACAGCATTAACCATACTATGTACTCATCTTTAATGTACTGGAAAAAAAAAAAATATTAAAAAATTTTAATATTTCGTAACCGATAATTTGCTTAGTAAGCAAAAATGAAACTACTTTTCAAACTTCAAGTGGGTCAGAAAAGTCCCCATTTAAAAAAATTTCTTTTCTATGGGACTATACTAAAGGACATATAATGACGAATATGCAACTGGCAAGTTCAAAACGTGCTGCCCGATTCTCCTGCAAAGTTTATACTGCATTTCTTGGGGCTTCAAGAAGAGAGAGAGAGAGAATCAAGATGCACCGTATTACAGTGTATGTGCGTACCTATCCCATTTGTGTTACAAAGTATAATGATATGTAATACATATATATATATATATATATATATATATATATAAGTAAGAAACATCCAGACAAAGACTTAATGGCAAAATCATCGACTATTTCTCCAAAAAGGCGTCACTTTGATCGACTTTTCCTCTCAATTTACCGCAATCGCAAAAATGCAAATAAATAATAGGTGGAATTCAGGACAGCCACTCCTTGATCAATTAGAAATTCAGGATTAAAATCGTAGTTGTGATCTGCCGACAAAAACTCTCATTGTCGGGCAACACCGACACTACAATAGGTTGCGTTGGGTAACCTATATAAGGACAGGATCCAAAAATAGGCGTAGATGGTCCAAATTTTGTAGAGCTCATTATTGCATGAAAGTACTGTTATGAGTCAATTTTTATTATTACATATTAACACTTTGACTTTTCTGCTCTACGAAGGATAAATTTCTGCGAAATCCTTTATTAGGATAGGATCCAAAAAAACAAGACTGAGATGGTCCAAATTTGGTACACTTAAATTTTTTATTTTAAGTTACTATTATGATATAATTGTTATCATGCACCTTTGAAAATTATACCTTTTTGTCATATAAATGTTAGTTTTCGTTATATGAGAGGGCGTTTTGAAAATTGCCCTACCCGACTCAAAGCTTTCATAGCAATTCAGAATGCCGAAATGCACAAGTGTAGAGTATAATATATACTAACAATTTTAAATACCAACAATTTTCTTACATTCCCATGTATAATTCTCGATCTCATGAAAATATTTTGAGAAAATTTGATACATATTCGGTCTATATATTGTCCCGTATCAGTTTACTAATACTTCGACAATTAGCGATAAGATTTTAAATCCAATTTATTTCCAACTTATTGGAAATTAAGCTTATTTGTCCGTCTGTCCGCTTAAGATCTATACAGATTTGTTTATTGATATTTCGGGATTAGGATTTCTTTATAATAATAATTTGAGATGGAAATCAACTCTGTAAAATTTAAACCATATAGGTCTATTCTTTTGATCAAATCTCCTATAATAATTCTGATAAATGAAAACTGAATGGCGTCAGACCATAAGTTTGCATACTTTGCAACGAACTTGGTTGGAGAAGAAAATTAATTTTGCTAACTTTGGGTAACATCGATTCACCTTCTGAAGTATATATATATAAACATATATATTTGTATATTTTGTGAGATCTTTGGATCTTTCTGCTGGTCGTTGCAAACGTTTTGACAAAATGAATATACCAATCATCGAAGGAAAAGTGGCTTTTAAAAGATTATCTACTATCCATCAACAAACCAACTTTTCTCTAGTTGACAAAAATTAGCTAAATATCTGATACTTAAATCAAATTAAGATATTTTACTTTGTTGCGAGTTTACATAATTGCGTTTAAAGTTAAAAATGAAAAAAAAAAAAAAACATTAGTTTCTTCAACAATTTTACACGAATGCATATTAAAAGTGAAGGCAAACGTGTAAATTGTTATGTAAATGCAAGAGGCGCAGTAAAATTAAAATCTAGTTAAGCACAAATTGTTGACATACAATTCATACTAACTAACATACTATTAACCATACATATATTATATATTTTATATGGTGCCGTTATAAGTTGGACAAATAATATAACGAAAAAAGTTTGTTTTAAAGAAATATTTTTTTTTAGATTAAAAAACAAGCAGAAGAGTTATATGCGGCATATTAACATCAATACACTATTTTCCACGACCAAAGAATTAGAAAACGATTTGCACAAAAAATGTAATCTGGAATGTCAATCAGATGAATGCTGTCTGATATATAGGCATCAACGCCACCCCGTGAAAAAACCGCAAAGACTTTTTATATGATCTATTATATAGTAATCAAGAGGTAGTTATCCTAAAGCGAACTTAAATTAATAGTTTATTTACCTTTGGATAGTGTTTATAAAAATCTATATCCTTCAAAGCGTTTGTAAGCACAACTTTATCTGTAAGAACCAAAATTCCAATTAATGATCACTATAAAAAATTGTAATTCAAATTTTCAAAGAAACCTACATCTCCATATATACCTTAGAATAATAAATGTACCATCAAATGCGATAATTCATTTCAGTGTTGCATTCTAACCTTAGACACGAACCACGGATAAGTCATCATTGTTTGAACTTAATACGAATTACTTCAGACCGCGGCAATATTTGAGCTGCTGGAGCTTACTTAATAGATTTGATCAAAAGATGAATTCCCTGGTATTATCGTAGTGTAACCACAATCGTTTCGTGGGTACTATATAATATTCAAGTCTTGAAATAACAAAAATGCTCCCTTTTTTTAACGTAAAGCAATATTTAGAAAATATATTAGCTTCAGATCGGTAACGTTTACTAACAACACTTATAAACATATACACGGGATTCCACGCAAGCTCGTTTTTGCAATAAAAAGTTGAGGACTTTTATGTTGCGTTAGCAGCATTTTCAGCTGGAGAGAAATTGGTGCGCCCTTTTTAAAATTGGAAAATGTAAAGTGTTGTGTAATACTTTGCTATAAAAGTGGGTTGTAAAGATAAATCGTATTTCTTGAGAATGAATTAACTTTCATAATAATATTAGATAGATCGAGCACATCGTCGTAACCAAGAAGGAGGCTTGTTAGGTCATCAGCTTCGAAATCATGGGAAAACGTATAAATTTATTACCGTATCACTTGGTCAATGAGTGCTTTAAACTCTCAAAAAAAGGAGTTGAGAGGCGTAGAGCAATTAAAAAACTTTCTCCTGCTTCCGACAATCGCATTTCAATTTTAGCAAAGCGAAATCCATTTAAATCGTTTAGAGCAATTTTCAGCGAAGTTGGGCAATCGGCAGATGAGCCGTATCGGATCTTACCAGAGACTACTTCTCGATGTAGTATGACATTGTGATGGTTTGAATTCGGTTTGAGCTTTGCTCACACATCCCGCTAAGGGCACCGTATCCCTTATTAAACGAAAGAGGTTAGGATAGGCCTCCGCATCCAGTGAAAATACAATGTCCATGGGCATTGTATCGACTGGCTCTGTATTTCTGCAGATTTTTCTTCATATTCAATCTCATACGGAGTTTCAGCTTGTATGGGACCTAACGCAAAGCCTGACTGGAGCCTTTTACTATTTCTTCATTCATCACTTTGTTTTCTGTTTCTAAATTTGATATAACGGATGTCAGGATCCCGAGCAGCAATCTTCCGACTTCTGTGTGACAGCGGGTACGGCCCATTTGCGGAAATTTCGTGGTGACTGTCGTTGGCCTCGGCTCGATGTAGACTTGCATATGAATCTGGCGTCTGACCCAAAAGAAGACAGAATTTTTACGTAGGTCTCGCCCTCACCAGAGGGACGCATACGCCCATTTACGTATCTCCACTGAAACTCGGGGACTTATCATCCTTAGGGCGATGAATGTGCGTTTTCATACTTCGTGTGCCTCCGGGCAGCGTAGGGTTAAGCCTTCACATTAAACTCCTAGAGACATCTGTCCAACCGGGAACATGCGATATTTTTAAAATGAAATTCTTTCAAGTTTTGGTTTACACATAACATAACTCTAACACCATTTTAAAAAACGGAAATGTTCCAACATTATAAGTAAATGATAAATACAATATATAATAGAAAGCAAATGGAGAAAAATACCTAAATCCCTAAGAATAGGCAATAGTCCAATAGAGGATTATGCATTTGATGTTTTTTAGTCAGTCATTATATAAATTGCTGAATTGCTGAATTGCTGATGCGGCAATTTGAGACGTGCAGAGAAGTAGAAAGTAAGAATTCCTTTGTTCCATGCATATACTTACATCTGAAGACGTCGTAAATTAATGAATATACTCGTCTCATTTCATGTTCATTCACAAATGCCACGTCTTCAGGGGGCTGTTTGAGTAATTGCGCCGCTTGGCATATGTTTTCCAAAGTCCAGTGTACATTTGTGCGGTTAATGCACTTTCCTTTCAAATTCGAACATTTCTCATTATTTTCTAAATGATAATCACTTGGCGATGACGTCGGTGAAAAACTTTGTACATGGCTTGAGTCAAAGATCGGTTTTTCTTTTAATTTCATAATTTCTTCAAAATTCCTAGAAAAACAAATACATTTAAATGAAAAAACAACAACAAAAGAGGGTCATAGATGAAGATTGAATATTGATTCAGGTTTTGGTAAAAAAAAAAAGTTTAGAAGCAATAAAACCGGGTAATACAAGTGAAAAATAATAGAGGACGCTGGAGGCTTTCAAGCTCATGATGCTCTCGATAAACACGCAGAGACATTGTGCGAGCAAAAATTTGAGCTGAGAAATTTATAGACAAGATAAGTCATCAATTCTGATTAAAAACAAGTAAAAATATATTATAGTCGATTAAAGCCAATCATTTAATGCCCTGCATCACCTCGACTAATACCATTATTCTGACAGTATGGATTCTAAGAAAGGAGACGTATGCGGCCCACGTTTGTATCATACGTAATGTTATTTTGTGAAATTACTCTTATGGATCCATTTTTATCATGAAATAATGGAAATTCAGTTTGGTTTCGCTGTTAGGTGGGAGGAAGTTCACTAATTAGCTCCATTCGATCCAAATTTCTTACACCAATTGAATAAGCGAGGATACTTTTACACAGCAATTTTTGTCGGGACATTTTGAAAATGACAAATTTTTATACCCACCATTTAAGAATAATGGGGGATATACTCATTTTGTCACAATGTTTGCAGCAGCCAAAAGGAAACTTCAGCGACCCTCTGAAGTATATATATTCTTGATCAGCATCAAATTCTGATTAAGTCATATCTGTCTGTCTGTGTTATTGACACTCTCCTATATTAAGATATCGACTTCAAATGCAACTTAGTCTTGAAAATGGACCAAATTGTTTAGAACACAAGCCCACAGTGAAGCGTAAACTGAAGGCAATTACCTTTTCTAAACAAAAAATTTTTTTAAGTTTCTGCTCAAGATTACAAAATATCGTCAATTTTTATAAAAAATATAGCTCGCCAAAGAAACGCTGCAATGACCTATTATTTTGTACATTCCTCGAATGAAAATATACAGAGAGATAAACTTAAATGAAATGAGGAAATAATTTTGAACCGCTCGATATCAGCAAAATTTAGTGTATCCTCAGTCCATCACCGTAAACATTTAATGCGACCTCTACCTGAAGTGGCCTAAGTTACAATTATCTCGAGTAAGAAATTTAAAAGACCTTTCGGAACAATGGGGGAATATTTAAGTTTATCATCATTCACAAAATTGATTGATAACATTTATTTAGTTTGACACAAGACCTAAGTGGATCAGAATCGATCAAAGAAATTTACGAAATTAGTTTTTTTTTTGGGTTGTAAAAGATATTTTACTTATCAAATACCTTAATACAGCCAAAGCAATAGCGGAAAAATATCATTTCAATATTATTAACTTATTGGATATATTCGCGAAAAGTGATTTGTTTAATAAAAAAAAATAAAAATATTTTTTTATGAAAAAAAAAAAAAAGTTGACAGAATTACTGCAAAAAAAAAACATATTGATCTTGACGAATAAAGTCGTTCTGTATCTGATATAGGTGGACTAAAACTTTTTCCGTAAATTTATCAAAAAATACCCTATAGCGGCTGATTTCGACGAGATAGACAAAAATAATCAAAAATCCATTTCATGCATACATAGTTCAGAGAAAATGTGTCCTTGAATCTACCCCTGCATCCACTTATATGTATGTGCACTTACTTGCCACTATCCAACGCATCGTTGACTTTCTTCTGAATTTCTAAAAGCATATAGTACATCTTTTCTTGCCAATCTGCATCGCTAGGTAGATAGACTTTACACAGCTTTTGCTTATTTGATATTATCTCTTTAAATATTTGCGGATATACTGAAAATATATCAGCTAAACTTAAAAAAAATAAATTGTTAGACATCCGTTAAATATTTGAAATATATTTCAATATGTAATTTATCGTTTCTATAAAACCGTTGAATCAACCGACACCAACGGATTTAAACTGAATTCAATTCGAGACGAGAAATAGGTCAAAGTATAAATGATTGCGCAGAAAAATAGCATTCGTGTTTAACACTCATTCGATATTCTATAAATATAATCAATTTATTTATTATCATGCAATCATTAATTCAATCACGTATCACACCAATGTACCACCAATCACGTTATGCATATAATTTGATTGTTTGCAACGCGTAAGGATGTCCCAAAACCTGCTTTTAGTATATTTGGATCCAACATCTACATCAATTGGATATAACAACTACTTAAATTAAATTTTGTACATTTATATAATGTACGCTAGCAGGACATCAGTATAAAATATTCCATTAATTTTGCAATTATTGTAGCGCCAATCCAACTCAATTTCATATCCGTCGTTCCAGCGGCCGACCAGCTGGGATCTTCATCTTTCAAATCAAAATTGCCAGCTCTAAACATCTTAAATCAATTGCAGACGGTCCTAGTAGTCGTAACATCACTATCACATAAACTATGCAAATCTCGTTTCCAGTGTCCTTTCCTCTACTAGCCTTTTTTGAAGCAATGAAGCATAACAGGTCGCAGATGCTTTTTTTGGCTACCCATATTGAACGGCATAGAAAAAGATTTAAAAAGCGACTTTTTCACCAACGAAACGTGAGACGAATGCAAACGATGCCATAAAAGAACAATAGAGAAACCTTCATGTTTACAGACATACGCGGCTCGAGGTCATACATAGCGTGACAGGGAAAAGAACTTATAGGGCACTCATTTATGTAAGGACGTGTTATAATAAGTGCATGAGTGATAACGGGGCTCAGCAAAATTTTTTGCCTTTCTACGGATCTATAGAGCATTCGGCTGCAACACTACTCGATACCAAGGATGCGATCTTCCCACGATCTGGATCGGCCAAAACCATTACGAAGCAAATCCTTATTATAATTTCTTTTTCCATTGCTATACTTACTGCATTGTTATGCTTCAACTTCTTTCTAGTCACTGGTCAGTTTAATTTTTAAAACAAAATCTCTATACCCGTAGATTTTACGTCGCTATTGCCTCAGTGTTAAAAGTAATAATAATTAATAATCTGTGTACTATTGTGTGTATCTAAAAACTTTCAAAGTCTTTCCGCCTTATATAATGTCCTTAATTATTATTTTTGATTTCTTATGTGTAGGAACTTTATTTGCCTAAGCAACAAGCCTCTTAAGCACAAGCCTATTAACCACCATGACATAGTCAAATAAATGAAAAGAGAGCGCGTTTACTCAACCAAAATCCATTTTACATATCAGATGCGTCTATATCATATCTCTTATGGAACCTTTACCAGGGGAGTTGGAAAGTGGAGTCGATCTGCCGATCTGTCAGCAAAAACGAACGCAACTAATAAACTGAAATTTTCAAATCACAATATCTCTATGAGCATTTATCAGATAGACAGAGAGAGAGAGAGAGAGAGAGAGAGAGAGAGAGATAGAAATATAGTAAGAGAGAGCGGGAACCGTATAAAAATCTTTTCAATATAGGTGCGGAACTGAAGTATATATAGTTTACTAGAGATATAATATATATGAAAAATTTGCATTTAGTGCCTATTGTGTAGATGTTTGTAAGCTATCTTAAAAAATGTATCTTTACTTTGACTTTCCTAAGAAGCGAGGAAGCAGCGAAATATGCCTAAAATAACTTCCAGCTTAATTGCAACCAAGATCATTACAAATCGATTGACAAAATTACTATATATCTCCATCAGCTGTTGATGAGCATTAAAAATGTATGCTTTTCAACACTATCCCAAATCGGTTTATATATCATTGGTTGCATTCATTTAAGGATTTTCATGGCGGAAAGATTTGCACACAGTCTTCACATCGGCCGTAGTTTTCCTTTATTTACGTTGACGGGAAGTGACATCCTGCAACAAAACTCGAGTTAAAAATTGCAAATGAAATGGCAAAGGCATGGCTGCGGCTTGTTTGAATGAAACGCCTTATAAGAAATAAATACGTATCAAATATTCAATATTTATTAGAAAGCCGCTTTATGTATATATTTTTTATTAAATGAGATGTGTGTATGTATATTTATATATATGTATGTATAAGTATTATCGTTATTATTTTATGTATTTTTCGTTTCTCATATAAAACACTGAACACTACAAAATACAAATATTTATAATAAAAAACTTACAACATAACTTTAAATACACAAACAAAATGTTGCATTATTCTAGATATACATATATGTGATGATGACATATTTATTAATAATGTATATATCGTTCGGTGTACATAATTTTTTTACTTTTATTTTATTTTTATTATTATTATTATTATTATTATTATTATTATTATTATTAATAATATTTATGGATGAAGAATGCATGGTATGTATGTCTTTGAATGTATATATTTATGTATATACATATATGTGTGTATCGATATATTTATTTACGCGTTGCATGTCTAAATGGGACGTATGAACATATATATGTGTGTGATTGAGCATATTGAAAATGAAAAAAAAAAAAAACTAATAATGTTACATATTTATTTCTTATTTTTGTTGTTCCGTCCATGTTTATATGTATTGGCTAATATAAGAAATATTTTGCTTTACGCCGCCATAAACTTAAATACGCTAAGCTTTTTTTAATAAGAAATTTGAAAGTACGCGATTTGAAACAAACTGTTTTTTTTTTTTTTGTTTTTTGTTTTTCTTGTTTCATAGAAGACTTTAATATATTTTAAAATAAGAAAAAGCAAAAAAAAAAAAAAAAAAACAAAAACGAAACTAAAAATAAAAGCATGAAGAAATTTAAACACAATGATCGATGGTCAAAATGTTAACTTAAATCATGAAATGTAAAAAACATAAAAATAAAGTCATAATAATATTTTAATATTTGCACACGATTGTATTACGTTTATATATTAATTACGTTTACGCTATTTATAACCGCATTGAGTTCTCATCACTACCTGAAACTGAATTTGGAAATAGATTAATTATGAATCATCTCTTCAATCGTCAAAATCGTTACTTAGTAGCTTGTTGAACTAATCATTTTTTTATGTACGCATTCTGTTTTCTTTCTTCTTAATATGTATATATAAATTTTATGCTAATGCCGTTATAAATAGCGTAAACGTAATTAATATATAAACGTAATACAATCGTGTGCAAATATTAAAATATTATTATGACTTTATTTTTATGTTTTTTACATTTCATGATTTAAGTTAACATTTTGACCATCGATCATTGTGTTTAAATTTCTTCATGCCTTTACTTTTTATTTTGTTGTTCTTTTTTTTTTTTTTTTTTTCTTTTTTATTCATATAAATGCGTTTTGTTTACAGAGATGGCCATAATATTGGATAAGTTCTTTATTTTGCTTCTTCTTTTTCCTTATTCTCTTCAGAAATTTCTTTTTCATTTGTCTGCAAAATCAAATTGATTTATTTATTTCCTTTCATATATTTCCATTTATTATTTATTGCGAAATTTATTTTACTGTACCTTATCCTTTTCTAATTCTTTTTCGGTCTTATCAACTTCATTGTCTTGTTCGTTTGATTTTTCCATCTCTCCATCTTTGCCTTCTTTGTTCTCAGGCCTAAGACATGTTAATTAAATTAGAAAGACCATTAGCACAAAATAAATAAATAATTAAATTAATGAATATATAAAATGAATAAATAAAAAAAAAAAAAAAAAAAAGAAGCTTTTTATTAAAATAAATGCGATATACTTACTCCTGCTTTTGAATGTGGGCATTCAAATCCAATTTAGTACAAATTTCATCCCAATCCGGGAAGCACCTGTCTTTCATGCGCGACACATGACCCACTAAGTTAAGACACTTCTCAGCCATAAAGTCACGCAAAGTATATGGAACATCCTTTGATAGAAAGTGCAGCTGTGAGAGTACTGCGAACGCAACAACATCCAATGTTGTAGGCTCGTCACCGAAAAAGAATGGCTTGCAATCCAACATTTCGCTGAGCACCTTTAAATCATTTTTACCGAATTCCTCAATTTCCTCGGCACTGTGTACACCTATTCCATGAGCTTTAAGCTTTTTTGTACCCTGGAACCACTATTTATGAAAAATTTGCACAATACAATTATAGAAATAAAAGTGTAGATCAACTGAAAAAGTACGAACACAACCAAAAACATACTAAGCACTCTACACAACAAGATAGATGGTGAGCTTACAAGTAGCAGAAAACATGTCATTGTCCGAATAATGTCCATTAATCGCTTAATGTATTCAAGCGAATAAAAATGAAAATTTCATATTTTCATTAAAAACATATGCTGCTATGCTTCATGTCGATAAGCAGCAATACCGGTAAGGCGGCTTGTATCAGCATCCTTACCCCTACCTACATGGAACGACCAAGCTGAAATGAATTCAATACATCATCGAACAAAATTTATAATTTTTTTTTTACCTTCTCCGCCTAATCTGCCATCATTTGAAATTCGATTTCTTCGTATACGACCTCTTTTAAAATGGAAAAACACGAAACAACAACAACAACAACAAACTAAACTTTTTACTATCGAACCAGTTAAAGTCACTAGTTAAATATTCTATACACCAGCACTCTTTACTTACTAAAAAGCAAATATTTTAGAATTCATTCAAATTAAAAGCAATTATATCCGCACAAACACGACTCGTATATAGAAGAGAGAGAGAGAGAGAGAGAGAGAGAAAATGCATTTACGGATAATATCCGCTCAAACAATTGAAAATCAATTAAAAAGGAAATGCAAATACTTGTGGCGACAGTTACGTTGTAGGGCCAACTATTAAATACTCGCAACAATCGCTTTTATTCACAAAATATCAAATCTTCTTGCCGTGCAAGAAGCTTAACTCCTCATGACAGCCCTTATACAAAAACTCGCAATATGGTGCAAATTTAGAGGAAGGGGACAAATTTTTATATTAAATAACGCTTAGGTGGGAGGAAACTCAAAAAAAAAAACGATTCTATCATATCCAGATTTTTCTCATTTCCGAACAAATGAAATAACAGTTTTCCACGCAACAATATTTCCAACACAAGATTGCAGCTGCAAGCCACTTTTAATACGATTCGCCTTTGGGAAAAATTACAATATATTTGGTAGACACAAACATGCACGCAGGCAGGAACAAACGGCCGTAAAAAGATTCAGAATATGATGCAAGAAATATTGAGTATTGAGATGTGTTATGCTATACCTACTAGAAACTACTGATGGGAACAAGAAGGAAACAATACAACAGCGTCTCGCCCAAGCAGGCACTACGCAGTCTATCTATTTTATTCTTTTTATAACCCACACCACTTGTGGTACAGGGTATATTACATTAGTGCGGACGTATGTAACGCCCAGAAGACCTTAACACCCTTTATTATACTGATCGATTCGGAATCATTTTCTAAGGCGATCTAAGTCTGCCTATTTGTCTATCCGTCTGATGTCTGCCTATTTTGCTTTTGTATTCAAGCTGCGGCTCGCAATTTTCGAGATATTTTGATAAAATTTGGTACACTGACTTACTTTGATCCAAGGACGAACGCTATTGCAAATGTTTCGATCGCTCAAAAACATTGCAATTTTCAAAATTTCTCGACAAACATTGCCAAGTAATAGTATTTCGGCATTCAAAATTAGTATGAAAACTATGGATCGGCTGGGACAATTTTTTGAAACGCTTCTCATATAACCGTTCCTATGGAAAATGAAGCTTTATATGGTAAAAAGGTGGCGGATTTGATTTTTCATGGTGAAAATTAGCTTATAACAGTAAATTGACAAGGAAATCTACCTTACCGAATTTGAACGCGGGCCTACTCTTTGGATGCCATCGCATGTAAGCATGAAACATAAACCCTTCACTTATATGCCAAAAAAGCCTAATTGTTAAATTTTTTGCGATGAAAATTTGTTCACGATAGCAATTAAATAAAAACAAAAAATGGATCTATTTCTTGGCTCCACTCCATATAAGATATCTCATGAATAGTAATCTCATTCTTAGTATTTTGTGATGGAAATTAATTCATAGTAACGTTTCAGCCTAAAAATTAACGACAGGGAATTTAAATCGTATAGGTCTATTTCTTTTCGATCCTTACTTATATAGGCGCTATCGGGAAACGGAAACTCTTATAGGGAGAGAAAGTCTAATCTTCGCCTACGCGGGCTCTGCACGAAAATAATGTCTACTTTTTTTGGTGCATTATTAACAAAACGAGCGAATTGGTGTAGGTTACGCAATAGTCGACACTGCACGATTGTAATGTTCTTACTTGTCTTGTTATGTGAAAGAATAAATAAAAATTAAGCTAAAATCATTTGGATAATTTTATTATTTTTAGTTAGGTGTACGTTATCGGCCGATATAGGCCGATTGGAAACATTTTCACCCATTACTCTCTGAGATAATCTTCAAAAATTATTCTCTATAATTTTCAAATGCGCATCTCTTCTCTCACCGTATTCCGAACAGAACCCGATAATGTTGATCGTATTATTTTTTTTTTTGAAATTCTAAAATTTACCTTCTCGGTCCAAGCTAAGTTACGAAATTTTGCAACGCATGAAAGTAACCATCGGAGATTCCATGAACTATATACATATCTATTCTTGATAGCCATGAATAACGAAATCGAGCGACCAAGATTATAAACTTGGAATTTCATTTAGGAGAATAAACTTGATATTAATTTGCTTCTTATCACTTTCGTCAGTCATGGTTACAAAATCGGCAAAGGCATTTAATGAAATGTACACTTATTTAAAACATCGATAATTGGAAGAACGTAGTATTTCTTAGAACTTTAGTATTTTAAATTTTTATTTGCAAGTTATTCCTTAATCAAATGAGACATGAAAGCTCGCTATATATAATGGGGCAAGAGTTCTCGCTTGCAATCACTCAAAGGCTGTTACATATATAGATACATAAGAGGAGCAATATAAATATACATGCATATATATTTTAAGTTGTACAAGCATGTATAAAATGCTGCCAAGTCTTATAAAAACGCGATTTAAAGCATATGCTGCAAATTTGGCATAAGAGCCAGCGAGTCTGCGTACATATGTACATAGCTATATGAGTATATGGATTTAAATATGAATATATGAATATATGATATATACATCGCATGACTGCAAAGGTTTGTAACCAATTTATAGAGCTGGTGTCGAACAATGCACTTTTCACTCTATAGTTATTTATTTATCTGTGTACTCGTGATGAGCTCAAACAAGCTTTAAAAAGATTTGCTTGCGTTAATGTGCGCTTGATATTAAAATTGAAAAATGAAAAGTAAAATTTTTGTCATATTAAACGAGTTAGAAACAAATAGGAAAAAATCTTTTCATCTATTGATCGACTTTTTTTTTTTTTATCTTTATTTCTTTATCCAATCTTTTATACTCATCGTCGTCATATTAAAGAAAGAAAAAATATAGAAATGTTCTATAGTCTGTAATAGGGAAGGGAAGTGACCGATTTATCCCACTCTTATACGGATACTGTGTAGAATTGCAAAAATGCACAAAAATGCGTGAAAATTTTTACGAAGTGTTGGCTTTTGGCTTTTGGGTAGGAAACACAAAACATGTCTTTCTTTTTTACTTTTGAAGGCAAAGATAGTATCAGCTTATGTTTATAAGCTTATAAGCGGGTCCTTTGACTAATTTAGCTTGTTCAATGCTCTTATCAAACTTGATATCTTAATTTTTATAACCTAGAGACTGTTCAGTATATGACATGATATGAATACATGATACCTCGATCGATTCAGAATTTGACGTTGCTCGAAAGAGTTTTGCTGTCACTGTAGTTTCCTTTTGAGTTTTGCAGATATTCCGAGAAAATAAATATATGTCCGTTCTTGATTTCGATAATTGTTAGAATTGAAGGGAAAAGCTATAAACATTCGATTTTGAAATGATGATTTTAACATGCGTTCTTCTTCAACGCTATTAGGCCTCCATCAGCGCTGACATTCTACAAATTTTCTTAACTGTATGCTATGGAATGCATGAGTAGATATTCCATAAGAATTCTGTTCTCCCAAATCTCAGAAGATATGCATACGTATGATATATAAGTGTGCCTATGAGAATGCATATGGCCAGTTTAAGCTTCCTCTCTTAGTCCTGCCCGCAGTAAACATTCAAACAAATGAAGGGTGACTCAAAAGCGTACGATGATCAAGGACATGTTTACTTTTTGTAGTTTTGTTTTGCGACTAGAAGACAACATATAACAATCGCATAATATATAATAACGAAATTATCAAAATACACTCAAAGACATTTAGGTAGCATAGGTTTAAAGTACTACAGAGTACATATTGGAATTGGAGGATGTTAGCGCACTTTTTTTTTTTTGTATCGAAGGAGAAATATGAAAAGCTTGCATAAAAGATGGTTGTACGATGTCGAGAAGTAACAATTATTCAGCTTAATCGAAATATTTTTTAAGTAAATTATTCTGGACAATTTCAAAATGCATGAAATTCTCATATTTTCAGAAGTCGTTTCAAAATGGAATGTTTTCAAATATTTTGAATATATATTTTTTATAAATCCCTCACACGCACACGCACACACGCACACATACACACACTCACATCTTTCAATAAAAATTTTTATATATGATGTCATAGTGAAGTGGCTACAAATCATGCGTCCATCGCCGTATAGTTACCTGATTTTGACGCAGCATAAATGTTATGCTATGTTATTGAACTGCCTGCAGTCAAAAACTAATACACATATCAATTTTTCACTTGTCAACTAAACACATTCACACACGTAAAAAATTTGTTTGTGCGTGCTATTACTTTTTGTTCAAAATCTGTCATTTTTAGATTTTAGTTTGAAAAGATCTTAAAAATCATAATCTGAAAATTTTATCCAAAAGAAATGGAAAATGAAAATAATGGCATATAAAAATTCGGGGCACATGCAAATATGGGTCATCGATGGTAATGGATTGCTCGATAAGGGCATAAGCAAAGAATAAACGTAACAGGGTTATATATGTATTGGATTTAACTAGCATTGCAATTGAAATTTACTCACCTTTCGGCCGAATGTTATTTTGAAAAAGAAATTCAAAATCGAGTTTGGCAAACGTAAGCCCAAGGCATGCTGCAGATTCACTTTATATCCCTTAAGAACATTATCGGGATATTTAGCACGCCAGTAAAAAATAATCCAGATCAAATGATTCTCGAGCATAGCAATCATAGCATACGAAACGTTTCGCTGTTCCGATGTTAAACCAGCGTCGAGGTCCTTATTATATTTAGCTGATAATTCCTTTATAATTATCGCCGAATCCGCAATCTCTTCACCATTCAATTCGATAAATGGTAATTGTCCTTTTTTTGATCTAAAACGCATTTTATGATCAACGTTCTAGAATAAAAAAAAAAAAAAAACAAATGCAGAAGCCCGTTAGAAAGATTGGTTCAATTTTTCTTCTTTTTTTTTTTTTTTCATTGTTCTAAGTTGAATGCGAACGGATTATTTGGAGAATATAAATAATCTCTGGTCCTTATTAGATACAGGAAAAAATAGTTCGGGGTTACATAAAATCTATGTACGCCTATATAACATATTCATGCATGCAAAATAAACGCTCGAATATTATTTGGATAGAATAAAAGATTGCAGAAAATGGAGAAATGCCATAGGTACAAAAATATTTATTTATGCTTATTTGTTTACTGTATGTATGTATATGAATGTGCAACATTCTTATCAATAAATTCCTTCTTCAATTAAAATCATATACGAGTTTGCATAATGTTGGCAGAAAACTTTGTGCCCTTTAAGAATTTTGTACAGTATATCAACTTTGCAACATGTTGCTTTTATATGTGTACACGCAACAAACAACAATCAATCTGCGTAAATACGCACATGCATGCATTTAGAAAATACATATATATAAATATATATTAATATAATAAAATGGGTGTGGTTCGGTCGGTATTTATATATATGTATATATATATATATTTTTTTTTTTATTATTATTATTTTTGTCAGTATTTTCCAAAAGGAACATCATTTCACATTGACAGGGTGGGGTTGATATGCTGTACATTCGTTTGAATTTCCAAAGCATGCATGCATGTATATATATATATATATATACACATATATTTGTACACATATATATACATATATAACATACAAATGCAGAAAAGCAAAGTTTGTTTTTCTTTCTTATTGCCTCTCTTTGCTTTATAGGAAGTTTATATGAGGGGGTGGTTGACGGTCGCTTAATGAAACCAAATTGCACGAAACTTCTCCCAAGAACTTGAATCCCATATTCTCATAACTATCATTTCAGCATATATATATATATATATATATATATATATATACATTCATACGCACACGCAAATGTCTACACCCTTTGGAAGCGAGTGAGTAAACATGAAGCGACTCAAACAATATAATCCAGTTTTATGTAGATGCTTGTTGTCTTTTCCAGTATTTGTTGTTTTATTTACTGTCTATTTATTACGGTGTCCAAGCAACGATTCAAATATTGAAACTGAACAAAGGAAGCAAAGAAAATGTACATATACATAGATACTTCCAATGGAAATTAATTTGTTAAAGAAGCAAATACATATATTATGTACATACGCTAATATGAAGCACAAGAATTTTCTTTATTTCTAATTCATTCAACAGATATGGATGTATATACTACATGCATACATATCGCATACATTTTGTATGTTGTCCATATGTAAATTTAAATATTCCCTCGTATATGTCATTCAAATATATATATATTTAAATATATGTACATGTCTTCCTCATTTCCAAAGTACTTGCATACATATTTGCAAAATAAATATTGTTGCCATATAAGAAATTTTACACATTCCACACCCTAAAAAAAGTTATGCACAAATTGGAAGCGAACCGTACTATTATGGAGTACAGTTTTTTTTTTTTTTTTTTATTTTAGGAGAGCGCGCACTTGTCTCTCATGCTTCAATGCAATTCTTTTGGTCACCATGTAAATCGAATAACGGACTTGAGACACACTTCTAAACCCCAGTTTCAAATCGAATAAAAATTAAACAATGCATAATAAAGTGAAAGGCTAGACTCTCTTAAAAGAAATAAGAAATGATGAGAAATATCATTAATGTCTGTAAGAAGCAGCCCTCATAAAATATATATATATATATATTAATTTTTTTTCTCGCTTACAAAATTTGTGCTTCGCTCTTTTTACGAACTCAACTTTGTTCTAAGCGGGGTGTTTTTGTACTTCAGTTGAGCTACTAGAAGAGCCCCCGCATGTTTAAATGTGTTATGGATGTCAATGTACACATAAATATGCACATAAGGTTTATATATTTCTTTGTTTTCCGCTTAACGGTAAAAAGAAGTAAAAGTGAAACATTTCCTTTGTATACACATTCATTACCCACTACGTCTCTCTCTCTCTCTCTCTCTCTGACGAATACTCTTTATTTATATCTCGCTCTCTATTAGTCTCGCTGTAATGAAATTTTGAGCGTAAATGCATTTTTTCTACTGTATACACTCATAAAAACAAATCAATGCATACATATATACATGTGCATTTGTGTATGATAAACAACGGCTTAAACTCTGGAAACTGGAATAAAATTCCTAAAAGGAAATGTACTTTTTTTTTCTTGCTCGTTTTTGATGTAAATATAATAGATCAAGCAATGGAAAGGAGGAAGGTGGAGGCCGGGAAAATACAATATGGCGGTTTGATTTGCTACACAACATTAATTGCATAGATAATATATACATACAGACATATATATATATATATATATAATTATACTATTATATGCGACTAATTTCTGGATCTTACACATACCTCGTATTTTAGTCCGGCTAGGCGGAGCCAGGTTTCCACTTTCAAGCAATATGGCGACAGAGAAGGTAGAAGAGGTGTTCTAGAGAATTGATATAAATATATCATGTCCTTTTCAAAATTTGTCTTATGAACATTGCATTTGGGAGCTGGCTCAGATTTATTATTTGAACCTGCAGCCGCACTTTCTGTTTCTTTTTTCGTATCTTCGGATGCAGCATTAGTTTCCTCTGCTTTCTCTTGGGCGTTAACGGCATCAGTATCTGGTGAGCTTTCATTTTTTCCTTCCCCTGAAGTTTCTACGACAGCATTATCGACTGGGGTTGTCTCCTCTTGCTTATTTTCTGCTGCTGGGATCGTATTTGCTACTTCAGACGACATTATATTTCCTTTTTAACTTTATATCGTTATTTTTATAATATTCTCTGCTTTCCTTTTTTTTTTAATATTTGTAAAATTTATTACTGTATGGTTTTTGCCACACCAAAAAATTCACTGTAAGTTGCGAGAGTTTCTCAAAATGCCCACATATACAAATATCTGTATGTATCTGCACGTATATATACTTCCACTTGCTTACAAACACTCACATATAGCGCTATATATCCTTTATACATAAATCTTCTCAAACACAAAAAATAACGCCAAGACCAACGCGCGAACACTATCCTCTGAAATCAGAAATACTACTAAGTTTAAAATCACACAAAAGCAAAATTTTGCAGACGCAACTGTATATACAATAAATAGTGCTGCCAATTATTTGTTTCCGCCACTGCTATACTCTATGCTAAAGTTTCAGAGTCAGAATATTTAACATTTGGCTGCACCGGTTAAACACGTAGTTCTTGTATTACGAATTTCCCAAACAATACATTTATAAAATGATGTAAATAGCGTACATAAATAGGAAAGTGTAGACATAGAAGTCGATGATTTTTCTCATACAATTTTCTATAAAAGATAGCCTTTCCTATATTATTAACATTCGTTAGTGAAGATAAGTTATTAAATGTGCTAGCAATGTAGTAATATTAACAAATTTAAGGCAAAGTGAAGCAATTCAATATTTTTATTATTTAAGTAGTTGATTGTATGCAGAAAAACACTTCATCTGATTAAAAATTTTTATTGAATTATTAAACAATGCAACATTTTATTGTAAAGCGCGCATAAGAACTGTTGGAAAATCCCGCCATAGCCACTACTTTATTATCACGCTAGTAATTAATATAAATAAACTACACAAGGAACAAGAATGCAACCAGCAAAGTAGTTTGAACAGTTCTATTTATAATTCTTGCATGCCTTAATAATATATTATCAGCATTATCCATTTAGCCAGAGAATAAATTTTAAAACTAAAGTCTTAAAGCCCTAGTATCTAAGCCTATCGGCTTTATTGTGTCCAAATCGATTTTTACGAAATAAATTTTAGGGCGTAAATTAGAAACAAAATATTTTTTGCAAGAATCTTTTGTTGACACTAGGAAAAAGTATACATATACATACTATAAGATATATGTACTCCCACTTCGAATATAAACAAGTAAGAAAGTTATATTCGGCGAGCTATATTCCCGTACCCACCCCATACACTATACTTTTCGCATTCTACTCCCTAAGTTTATTTATTTCTTTGATACCCATATCGCTGGTATTATTAAGAAACAATTAATTGCGGTGTCTACCGTATTCATTTCAGAACTAACCCATTTTTAGGCAGCCAATATATTCGTTTCGTATCGTGAAAAAAACAATCAAACTACCAGTGATTCATTCAAGACAATATCTACTTTATGGCGTCTCTGAAGCTTCCTTTTGGGTGTTACACATATTATGAAAAAAAAAAGCAAAATGAGTACACCCCCATCTGATAATGGTGGGTAGAAAAAATTATTGTTTCAATGTACGGAAAACTATAACTAATAACCAAAAAAATTCAATTAATGTAGGATTGAACAAAAGCGTCTGTTAATTACATATACGCTTAGTCAGTCGCTATTCAGGTAGATACTTATGGAAAATTTAATTGTCGTTGCAGTTTTTAGCTGCGTGTGGTTTCGGATTTTCTCCTCTCAGAGTAGGATTACTGATGGAGAGACATAAAGGATCTATTTCTCGGTATTTCTTACCACTAAATCGCTCGTCCAGGACCTCATTGCATAAAAAGTTGTTCTCCTCCTAGCTGGATATGCCAGCTTTTTCTATCTAAAGAAGAAGAGCACATTGTTTTCTCACGCAATGAATACGCATTGCAAAATGCAAGTTCCCTTTTTAATAGCATCCTTTGTAAAACAAAATTAGTACGAACATGTTATTATGTCTTTATTTCGATATACAATCTTGGACACATAAACAGCATGCATTCCATCAGCACAATGAAAACGAAGAACTTCTTAAGATATTTGCAAAGCATGCAAACATTTGCGTTTTCTTTTTTTTAATTAAAAATTTTTTAAATGTTTGAGCAACACCGAAACAGGATATAGAACTTCTAGCCCGCTTGCATTCCATGGACAGAGACATGTTATGGACATGACCATTAAAAATCAATGATTATAAAACTTGTTATTTTAAATCTCTGATAAGCGATTAGTTCGTGGAAAGCATGTGTTAATAACCCATGATATTGGCGTTGTCTGCCTAGTTAATCTCAATCACTGATGAAAGTGAATGAAAAATGGTCGAAACACAGCCATTTCATTTTATACGAATTCCAACAAAGAGGACGGATGCTATAGAAGCGGATAAAAATTTAATAAAAGTACGATTTCTGAGAGAACATTGAAAAGATCCTTCAAACAATTTCAAATAGACGATTTCGATTTTTCCGATAAGGCAGGCTTTGATCGACGACGATGGTGTCAAGGTAACAACATTCAGATCATATTCGGGCACTAAGATTCCAAAACGCACACAAGTTTACAAACGGCTGACACCATGAAAGGATGTGTCCACCTGCCCTATTATACCATTTGATAAAGAAGAAGTAAGAAGGTTAAATTCAGTCGGGACCGAATCTTTTATACCGTTTCATGACCGTTAAACCAAAAAAAAGACAAAAGAACTAAAAGAAGAAAATTCTCATGGTTTACAATAGGGATTGGGCGCAGTTGGTTTCTTCTATTTTCAAAATAAAAGCTTTTGTCATAGAGGCATGAGACATGTGTCGTAAGCGTGTCCTTTGAAAAGTTTAGGTCGCTTCCAAATTCTTTTGCAAATTTGCAGGCGATGTCGTCATTTTTGCGGCCAAGAGAATGTTTACAGCAGAGATTACAACGACGGACGTCCGGACAAGCTGAAATCGTTTTAGAACTCGATGCTGATCAAGAATATATATATATATATATATATATACTCTGTGGGGTCTCTGATTCTTCCTTCTGGGAGGTGCAAACCTGAGGTGACAAAACGAATATACCCCGCATCCTTCGGTGATGGGTATAAGCAAAAGACCTATGTAAAACTAAAATATTATTATTATTATTATTATAAATTTAATAATAATAAGAATAAATTCTAAGACTAAAGTCTTAAAAGCACTAGCATCTAGGGCTGTCGGCTTTTATTAAAAACTCTACCGCACTTGAGGTTTGAACCCACGACTATTGAGTTGCTAGTCGAGACTCTTGCCTACTCGGCCACTCAGGCGGATAAAAAAAAACTAAAATATAGTTTGATATATTAATTGTACATTGAGTTCTTCGGAAAGTCATTTCGTAGTTGCATTTTCCCACAGCCAAATTGACACTTGACCCGCATTTTCAGCCGATATACCAAGGCTTGCTTGTGATAAAGTCGGATTGATTCTACGCAGCAGCTTTTGATTCATGGCCTTTCAAGCATGGAAAGTAAAAAAGCACCATTTTCCCTACATTTTAATTTTTGACTCTCGGAAAGATAATGATACTGTTCAAGCAAGAAAAATATCATTCGTTCTGTATGGAGGTGTATTGACAGACCGTCAGTGCCAAAACTAGTTTACAAAATTTTAATTTCAACAATTTTGATATTGAAAATGTGACCCACATATACAAGGCCAGTTCAAGCTGATGAAAACAAAATAACTGATGCAGACCAACGAATTACAATTCGTAAAATCACTTAGAGATTACATTTTATCGAATTTCATCGTTCATAATAATATATTTGTCGATTATAAATTGCCTTTCATTCTGGCAAAAAAAAAAGAAACGAAATGACTTTCCAAACAACCTAATAGCATAGGAATATAAAAGCAAATAACATTTTTGATTGACTACCTAAGTAAAGAATTCAGGAAATGGAGGTTAGAGGAAATAGGCCATCGTGATGCACTTTATTGAGCAAAGTAAATTTCAAGAAACCGGAAGGATGAGTCCTTGAAGCTTTTATTTTCTATATATGTACGTATCGAAGCCTAAATTCAAGAATGCAGTGAAGTGCTCAGCTATGTACTGCCGTTTTCTCGGTGCTACAATTTTAGAAAATTCAGATAAATTTTCCTTTTCTCAACTTTTAAAAGCGAACGGGACGCGGAAGATTCAGTTCAAAAAAAATAATGTATCATATAAAAAGACCTTGCGGTTTTTCCGCGATTTCATGCTCCGTTTTGTAGCCAGCTCTTTTCAAATGATTCCAAACGGTCATGGAATTGATGTTTACTGCCTTTGCCATTTCATGGCAACTTGCGTATCGGTCTTGCGCCATCAGGTCAACTTTTTTCGACCAGAGCGAGATGCGTCGCGCAAACCACTTGTGGGCCGTTCGTTCTTTCACAGCATTCTTTAGCATATTTCACCTTTTTTCTAATAAAAAATCATCACATATCGCATTTCTTCCGATATTTCACCCACTTTCAAGTCAGTATAACTTTTTACCCGAGTTAGGGAGTTAGAAAACGATCTTCAACGGCAACGTAATATAAATCTCGTTTTTACTGCCGATTTTTGATTCGACCTTGAATTTAAACAATTATAATTATAGAGAAAAGTGAGTGGCAGCTGATAGGCTTATCTCTCTCATCTATTTAGTTCACAAGGCGGTTCTTTTTAACCTAAGATTTTCCATTTAAACCTAGGATTATTTATAACAACCATAAGTCCACCGAGATAGACAAACTTCTTGATGAAATCTTCACCACTTTCGCATTAGCGTTCAAGGTTTACCCATCATAATGTCCGCATTCAAATATATCTAGGAAAAGCTACGACAATCTCGATCCAATATTAATTTAAAGCTCTCAAATAACTAAAAATGATTTCCTTTTTTCAATATAATATTGAAAGATTCAAACGTGTCGTTCACTCATTCAGATTTTTTCAAACTATATATTGGTCTATAAATGTCGCGCCGATGTATACGATGGCGTTATCATCCTTTTTAAGAATGGAATCCTCTTTAAACAGATTCCATCCAAGTCTTCTTCAGATATAGTTAATATCAATAGTAAATTTCTAAACCATGACATTGTAATAGCATCCTTCTACTTTCCATGAAATATTCCTACCTAGATCTTTCGCGATGAAATACAAACACTATGCGACTTCCGTGAAGTCTTTCAAAATGTAGTGCTTGCTGAAAATTTCACATCGAGATATTCTGGTGGCATTCTTGGTGATCCAATTTCAAATAGTAGAGGCAAGGGGCTCTTCTCATTGTTATAAGCTTTAGTAAGTTTAATTGGGTGAACAAATCCATGCCAATCTTTCTTCACTCTAATCGCAGTTTTACTGTTTGTAATGCTTTAGACTTAAACTTCTCCAATTGGAATCGTCTAATGGAGTATCAGGAGAAACAGTCGCCGTATTCCCATTACTTTTAAAATTCGGATAGATTCTCTGAGTCGCTTGTCCCACATAGTTTCAATTCACAACACTTCTCGACGTGAATTTAAAAGCTGCTGGGACTAATCCCCAGATGACTAATAGTTTCTCATCTAAGCCATAGTGGTTCGCTTTCTGCGATCTTCCAAAGACTCTAGACCGCCAAGCAAAAATTCCAAACGCACGCAAACACTATCAAGTTTGATAATTTCGAAAAGAAAAGCGAAAAGGAAACCTTATTCTAGTTATGGATTGGGAGTCGGTTAAGGTGCACGCAAGACAGCCGCCTGAGGCCAATCCTTTTGATTGACGATTTTTTATTAATCTCGGCAAGAAGATCTTTCCATGAAGCAGCTAATAATATTGCTGCCAAAGCCGACCTGCTTTATAATGCTTACGCTAATTTAAACATATCCTTTAATGCTAACGAAACAAATGCGATCTATTTCGCGAAAGGATTCAAGATTGTTCTCAATATTTCCAACAAAGGCACATGGATGAACGAAAAAACTTTGATTAAATTAAGGACACTACTTGGAAGCTTTTAAAGACTGCCAATCTGGATACAGATATTGCTAAGCTCATGACCAATCTCCAAAAAGTTTTGTTTCCTCAAAAAGAGCTCTGATTGTCTACAAATTCTTAGTCCATTCAAAAATATTCCCAAATCTTTCCCAGACCTTTCAAAACATACTGCTAAAACGATATGCAAATCTCTCTCCCTCAAAGTCTGCATTCTTATCTCCTAACGTCAAAGTAATCACGAAAGTAATCACTTTTAGATCTTCATTTCTCCAGAAGGAGGCATTCAGATATAATAAGTACTCCAGCAGCTACACAATTTGCTACCTAAAATTGTCTCGCATTTTCAATAAAATCAAATCCATTCCAGTCTAGGTCTCTACTCATTGCAAGTACAAAATTGATCTAAAGCTCCTTACGTCTATTGTTAAATTTAAAAGAAGCTTTACGCAATCAGGTCTACGAGCTGTATGCCAGCAGAAACTACGATCTTATCTAAACAATGATTTTCCAATTATGTGATTCTATGTTCTGTTGGAGCTGGAGCGGTCAGTTTGTCGGCGATCAAGTATTTACTAGGCAAATTCAAAGTTTTAGGAAAGCCCCCTTCTACCTTTATCAAACTTCTTGCTTTTTTGGGCCAAGCCAAATAACATTAAAGAATTCGAATTCTCTTTCGACACCAAATCGTCCTTGAGTTTAGGCAAAAACAAAGATCCATATAACATATATGTTTTTAATATTTATGACATGTTAAATGATCATCTCATTGACGAGTATCTTCTGATCTGGATACCGGGTCACTGTGGTTTTTTTTCTAAATAAAAAAGCTGATTGGCATACGCGGGAAGCTTTGTTTTATATTAGTACCTAGAAAAATGTCAAGCGGGATTGAAAGGATAAATATTGTGAGATAAGCCGGACGCAAAGCGATCGCCACTTTTATTAGATTCATTCCTTCAAGTCGTCCGAGCCTCTATAGAATGCTATATTCGCGGCGTAGGAAATTAAAATATTCAACAGACTCATGAGTAATCAAACGTACGACAATGTGTACTTAAAACTGATCCGTGTAATACTATCCGATACTTGTGGGCATCTCACTTTTCACTTTTAACAATCTTTCTGAAATCGTTCGTGCTGGCAACAATGATCATCTCGAGCGACTGATATCTTTTATCGAAAGTGCCGGATGTTCCTTTTAATGCAATTTTGTCGTATTTTATATCTTACTATATGCTCCATTTTTCATTTGCCCCTCCGTTCTCAATCAGTCAATCTTGTGGAAATATCTCCAAAACGGACAGAACTTAACTAACAATGATTACATCTCTGCTTCCTAATCAAGGAACGGCGCCGTCAATTCTTTCCAGACACCATCTTTACTGTCGTCATCATTTATATAAATCAAGCGGCCTTATTCTTATGTCCCTCTCTTTTGTAGTTAAAAAAATCGAAAAAATAAAATTTCGATACTGTATATAATACGTAGGCGTGGGAATTTTGTACAGATAATATAGAATCACCCACAAAACATACTATACACTATATACTAACATATTTTTATCGTTATATCCGATATTATTGTTTATAAGTGCCGGACAAGACAATTCTTTTTATGCATTTGCTAGCGAAATTGAAACTGATATCTTAGCAGAATATTTACCAAACACATTGCACAGATGGATAAACCGTCAATTCGGATACTGAATAAGAATGCATACAAGACCTTTGAGCTCTTTTCTGTATCCCTTTTGGATGCTGCAAATTCCATCCTTCTGTGGGGTGTATAAAAAATCACCATGCCCATGAAAAGGCAAGAGAAGAGAGCGAAAATGCCAATCATTGGCTACAATGAAACCATATTGCATTAAACAGAATTCCTCTACATACTTCCCATAGCATGGTAAATGATATTGTGCGAGCTTTTTAATACGATTCCTCCAGTTTTGAGTTGTCACCCTACAGCCCGCGGGTCACCAAATGATCTATTTGATAATTTCACGTGACCTATTTTAGTTCCGAAAATAAATTATAAATTACTAATTATAAACCAGACTTGACTATATTGACGTCCCAAGTTCAATAACAAAGGAGCATCGAAGAGAACATTTATACATGAAGTTCATTCAACTATGTTTGTAATTATTTTCTTAATAAAATATATTTTATTATTTATTTAAAAAAAAAAAAGACTGTTTAATAAGAAAATATCTCTGACCCAAAATTTCGAGGCCAAAAAAGGTTTCCCGTCTCTTGCATTATACTGTATACGAAGCGAAAAAGTAACATGGCTGCGTTGTCTTGATTTTGTAGTTCTTCTCATTTTTTACGCCCACCAACGAAATATTCGAAAAAACGAGTTCAATAAGTTAAACAACTCTTGTAAGGATATTATGGTCTGTTTCAGCCAAATAAAACCATTACTAAGGGACGAGTTCCTAGTATAAAGAAATATGACCGTATATAGCAAAATTCGCTCAGGCGGAGCTTACAATATTAATCCGGAATATCTTATCGTTCATGCTTTTATCGCAAGCATTATTTCTTCTGATTAACACTGGTTTCAATCGTTGTTTTGTTGTTTTTTGGAAGCTTCCATTCTTATGAAGAAAACGAAAATATTATTGATCGTAATTTCATTTCAGCAATAAAGTGAAGGCACGAAAACAATTAACTTTCGACCATAAATTTGAAGGAAAAAAAAAAAAATATATATATATATATTGAGAACATCTCCACCTTTTGTCTCCAAGACAAAATCTTTCTCCTTCGCCACACAATGTGTCACTGTGTCCTGAAAAGTGCAATCGATTCACTTTGCACACACTTTTTTCAATACTCAAGGTCTCCTTTCAATTCCCGTAGTTCTTAACAGAAATATATACATGTAAAAGGCAAAAATTTCTTTTTGTTATCTCGATTATCTCGTAAGTACTTCTCGTTCATCTGCATTATTTTCTCCCAACGTCATCCATATTGTTTTATATAAACGTTTTAAAAGTCGGTATTTAACAAATTAAAACATTAACATACCGTTATGGAAATAAAATTACAATTCGCTCGCTTGATTTATAGAAAAATTAATGCCTTTTCGACCTCATATTCGCTCTTGTGATAAATCACCTCCTTTTCCATTTTGTCAAAGTAGTCTTTTTTTACATCATTTTATTTCATATCAAATTTACTGATATTTTAACACAATTAAATCTATTTATCTTTAGTTTCACCTTTACCACCACGGATTCTACCAGTGCGGCGAGCAGCAATAAGACCAACTTTACGACCGGCAGATGTGCCCCGTTTCACTGTGGAGGCTTTGCCAATATGCTGATGATTACCGCCACCGTGAGGATGCTCAACAGGATTCATAGCAACACCACGCACCTTTGGCCAGCTGTTACGTTTCACCTTATATTTGTGATAGGCGCGGCCAGCCTTTAGAATGGGTTTATCAATACGACCGCCGCCAGCCACAATACCAACCATAGCGCGATTAGCAGAAGGCACAACTTTCTTAGCGCCCGATGGTAACTTCACACGCGTTTTCTTTGTGTCGGGGTTATGGGCAATAACAGTGGCGTAATTGCCAGAGGTACGTGCCAGACGGCCACGATCACCGGTTTTTTCTTCTAAATTACATATAATTGTACCTTCAGGCATAACAGACAAAGGCATTACATTGCCGATTTGTAGAGTGGCTTTGCGACCGCAGTACACAAATTGACCGGTGTGCATGCCTTCTGGTGCAATGAAAAGTTCTTTACGTATTTTATACCTATACGGATCTCGGAAATGTACTACAGCCAAAGGGGCGCCACGACCAGGATCGTGAATAATTTCCTAAAAGCCATCAATATTGATTTTATACTTATAAGAAAAAAATAACAATAACGTACCTTGACAACGCCACGAATGTAACCATTGCGCTCTGAAAAATCCAAAGGTCTTAGTTTCGCAGCTCCTTTACGGTGTTTAACGTGCGCTTTAAATACGGATCCAGCACCCTTACGTTGTGCACGAATAACACGACCCATTTTATTTCTAAACTTTTTTTGGGTAGATTAAAAAATAAAAATTAAATTACAACACGTAAAAGTTCTTGAGATGATATAAAATATTTTTCTTCTGTACATAAATCTCAATGAAGTTTTATTTCAACACGCAAACAAATGAAGATAATTGCAAGGGATATTACAAAATATTCTCTTTTACACTTAAATCCCAATATATATTTTACTTTTTAATTGTTATTTTCACTTAAACTCTTCAAAAATTCGCAGATTCCTTTATATTAAATTCTAATAAAAATTGATGTCTGACACCTACCAAGCAAGCTAAAAAAGAAAAAGGAAGTAAATACTTTTTGTGTTTATTGTTAAACGTGTCAGAGGTGCTTTTAATAGTAACTTTTACTTATTGACTTTAAAATAAGATAACCTTCTGAAAGTCTTATTCTACCACTACTTTTTGTGCAACGTTAAAACTCTAAATAAAATAGGGTACAACGATCAAAATCTAAGTTATTGCATTACATTATCATATTTCACAAGAATTTTATTTCCGCAATTTATTAATTTAATAGTAAAAACTTCGAGTAAAAACTTATTCATCTAAAATTTTTATTAATTTTGTAGACGAAAATCTCCACAGTTGTAGTTCCACATATTGAATCGTACACCGGTTAATGGGAGATTATTAGGAGTATTACGATTGCCAAAATTTATTTATATTCATATTTCTATTGATTCTCAGCGACTTTTGGCAAGGTTCTGCGTTTTTCTTAACCGTAAAAGTTAAGTTCACATTAGGTTTATTACACTTTAGATGAACGTTTGGCTGTGAAGCGAAGCTTAATTGCATAAGCGTACAAACTAAGTGGACTTTTATTTATATTCCCACGTGTGTGAGACACATAAAACTTGAAAATTTTATAAATTTTGCAAATTTATAAATTAAATTATTATTCAATATATACATATATAAATAATATGTATAAAGGTTTATAAATTAAATTAATATTGAGCCGATAACCTGTGTTGCTAGTGCTCAATGTCTTTTTTTTAGTCTAAGAATTCAATTCATTAGTCTAAAATTAAAATAATAATAATAATAATAAACTAATATTCCATCTTATGAAAAATGTATAACTTAATTTTCTCCCCCACCCCTAGATATATATATTTTTCCCCTAAGAAAGTTAAAACATCGAAGCATGGCAAATTAAGTCGTTAAGAGGTGACAGAATAAAAGCCGCGTTTGTCAGCCTTAGTATATTATATTATACGAAATAGTAAACAAATTTCTTCTTCTTCTATTCAGCAAATCACCAACCGAAAATTTGCTGAGATGTTTAAAAAAGAGTTCTTTATATATAGTATTTGATTTAATTAAAATAAATTTATATATATAAACAACAACAAATTATAAATGGTAGTTTCCAAATAGTGAAATCAATACACAAAAATATATCTAATATATATTTACATATATCTAATCAATATTCTTTATTACTAATCAATAAACAAGTTTGTTGCTTTGATATTAACGTTCTTGTTGTTATGTTTCTGTAAATTTGTTAGTTGCGTTTACGTTGTTTTCTTTATTTTTGGTTCTAAAGCCATAGGTTTTTATTTAAATTTTCCTGTAAAGCAATATTAAAGCGCGGCTGTCTATCGTATTACTATACGATACTTTTTAACCCGAAAACGAAAATGACGCCTCACTGTGCCAACTTCCTATGATTTGCGAATTCCCGTCAAAGCCTCGTCAAACGCGTCTTTTCAATACATCGATGAGGTTTGATTGTCTCTTTAATCGTTGAAATTAAGATCAAATGTATTGAAACTAATATCCTTTGGGTTAGGCTTTTGTTTTTTTTTTGCATCAAGAATATCATGCAGAACAATTTCTTATTGTTTTTCTCGCTATTGCTAATGGATTTTCTCAGAATGCCCGAATTTCAGTTTTCAATAATACTGGCAACACTTCGAGGCAATCTTATTTTTGCTTAAGTTCTGGTAACTCTAATGAAAAGAGAAGAGAACTCAATTCTTAGAATGAAGTGATTCGTATATCGGGTTGGAACGAAAAAAATTTTTTATTTTCAGTTGTTTTCGTTCAAAATAGTTACGAGAAAACGTCTTAAATTGTCAACTCGAAGTGTTTTGCATAAGCGAAAAAAATTTCAAATCTAATCAATTGCAATATATTTAATCGTCAATTGCGAGTGTTAATTAAACGCCTAACGCGTATATATATACGAAAATAAAATAAAAAAGTACGGAGGAAAGTTGGAAGTGTTTAGTTGTGTTTGAGTGCGTGTATTTGTATAAAAAGAAAAGGTGAATAAAATTTTTTTTCTAGGAATGTGGGAATTATTTATAGAAATTTTAGCAAATAATATAAATAAGAAGCTAGCCAGCGAAAATGGATAAACTTTCTGAGGGCCAATAGGAAAATGTCACTGATTTAGAAAGCATACAAACTTCTAATAGTATAAACGGTTTATATGGCATATATATATATATATATATATAAGCAAGAAATATGTATGTGATGAAATTCATAATGCTTCTTTATTGTCACACACAAATGTACATAGCATATATGTTATGCTTCTAATTTGTTGATTACAATCTTTCTATACTATTTGATATATTCTACTGATTTGCAAGATTGTGCTTATGGCTCAAAATTAATTTTAATTTATTTGCCCTTGTCAAGTAAATTGTTGCCGTCTATTGGATTGCGTTTTTGCAATTATCAAATACTCACATCGTATGAGTACATGTGTGCCTGTATAAGTGAGAAAAACATAAGTTTATAAAAATTATTTTGATAAATTCTGAATATTGTATTATATTAACATATGAGGCGTAGTGTTTAGTATGTGTTCTAAATTGTCGTTTTACCGTTGGGCGATCCGTCAGTATATCTTCTTCTTAAACTTCTTTTAAATTTTCTCTTTAACAACTACCAGGAAATATATACATTCTCTTGGAACTTGATATAAATTTCTATTTCAAATTTTTTGTTTCATTTCCTCTTAATAATAAATAAAAAATGTGCATTGCAGGCCAACCAATACTTATCTAATGTATATATATTTCATTTTAAATTTTCTAAAAAAAACTAATATATTTCTACATAAATACCTTATATAATTTAAGTGTTACCAATATACATTCAGTACCGTTATCGTGTTTTGGGTTTTTAAATCCTGCGTTGAATCCAAGTTATTAGATTTGATATCAATGAGTGAGATTAAATATGACGTTTGCGGTTGAATACAACGACGTCGTTTTTAAATTTATAATCAATCACTTAAGGGCTCACTGGTCGATGACGATTAAAAAAGAGAGAATAGGGTACATGTACCTATTTTACTTGAAACCAGTTATACATCAGAGTTCGACCACAATTACGAAGAAGAATTATGCAATTAAGGCGGGAAATTAAGGCGGAAATGTGTTTTTTGGTTATTATAAGCCTTACAGAGTAGGTGTTACGGTATATATATTTATAAAGTTCAGTGGCGAGAATAATTTCTCTCTTGTTATGCCTTGACTTAGGTTTGAGATTCAACTCGTGCATTGTAACCTGGCTCCTCCAACTTATTGATGCTAAGTAAAGGAATTGATGTGAAAGAGTAAATTCTTTCTTCTTGAAAGTAATTTTTTATTAATTTTGTTTACATTTTTATTACAAGCCTTTGCAGTCCAAATTATTTGGGAGAAAGCAAGTAAACTGACCATTTGCTAACAGTTTTGAAAAATGTAACATAATCGCTTAATAAATAAATGGTTAAAAGCCCAACTTAACAAAAATGTTAACGTCAAGCAGCTAATGTTAAACACGCAACTTAACAGACCAGAAGGGTCCAACTCTGTAAAATAACGGACCAAAGTAACAAAAGCCGTCGGCAAAACAAAAACTTAACATTATCTAACGGACCAAATTATTTAATTTTACAATGTTTACAAACGTATTTATGTAGCATATTTTTTGGGTTTTATATATATAATTTTATCCAATGCCAAAAAACATCCTGAAGTGTGTTGGAATTTATATATGAGCACGAGCTGAGTTTTCAAACATGTTATTTGCGATTATGGTATAACATACTTTTGCTTACATATCGTATGAATTTGCGTCAATATTCTTTTCACTTTTACATTACATGTATGAATTAATGAGAATGATCCAATTGAAATTCAAAATAATAGATTTCAAATAAGATTTTGATATCACTTTTAGGCTTAACAACAACTTTTAAATGCTTCCACACGATTTCGTCCCTATAAAATTTTTCATTTATTTTCGTCATAAAATATCAAAAGTTATAATGCGTCATATGAAAAGGATTTGAGATTTTTTTGCCACTAGATGGTGTGGATGCCTATACATCTGGCAACACTCGTCTGATTGTCGTAAATGAACATGTGCTCAAAAGGTGATATATCAGGTTACATTTTTTTATGTGAAGATCGTTTTCTAATTCTTTTGCCTGGTAAGAAGTCATATTGATTTGAAAATGCTTTTTTGCTACAAAAAGTTGAAACATGCAAAAATATGCCGAAAAATTTGTGAAATGTACCGCAAGAATGTTGAGTGTGTGAACGAAGGACCTAGGTTGTACATCGCTAGGATCGAAAATGTCGACGAAATTTTGCAATTGCAAGAGACCAAGCCTGGCATCCAATATCGACCATATGACAGTTTGGAACGATTTAAAAAGAGTAGGCTACAAAAAGAAGTTCGAAAGGAGACCAAAAAATCGCAAAGGACTTTTACATAACGCAATACCTTGTTCCCCTTATGAAGGCATACTCTTGATGGTAGCGCTTATATGGAAGCGTTGCTTTTCATGAAATTCTTGTGGTTTGTGAGCAAATTTTTATAATAAAATATGAAAAATTGCGCTTTTTTTGTCATATAAAGGCGTTTTGCTCGTCATAGGAATCGGTGTGCGGGAGATGGTTCACCCATATGCTCCATCCAATCTAAAATTTTAATTTTTCATTAATAGATTTTCATGGGCTTTTCAGTTTTCGGTCGCAAGTGCGTATTGAGCGTAGTCAAAATATCAGGGAGTGGCAGGCGGACAGATGGATGGACAAAAATTAAATCGATTCGGAAGGAGACACTTTCGGAAAATCTAAACTTGAAAGGAAAGGATCGGTATTTATACATATTAAGTATATAAACATATAGTTGGGAAGATGTTCAAGAGAAGACGGTACTTAACGCCATATCGTGCAGAATAACACTGCGATTTTGAAACCCCACAATATCATTTTTATATAAATATAAGCAACATGGTTAAAAGATCTAATTAGATAGGTTTAGATAGATAATGCTACCCCGCCAGGCATACTGGCTGACATTATTTATTGCCTTAACCATCAAAAATTTTTTCCAAGTGGGAAAAACTCATTGTAACAGACAATGCACTCGAATATGTTCGTTGCTTTGCTATAATATAATGCGAACAGTATTTTACGCGTGCCACGTAGTAGTGTATGTTCGAGAGAGATATATATATATATTCAAATCAGAAGATATTTATTTCCTTTTTTTTATTCCTTACGTTTGTGATTTATTTCTTTGTCCATCGTAAGGTAATTTTCTTTTTTCGTTTCTAAATTGATTTTTATCACATATCTTCATTTGAAATTACTTTAGACTTTACGATTAATTAAGCAATAGATTTTCTAGGTTTGTTTGAGAGCAGCAAAGGTTTGTTGCCGCTACGTTGCACTCGGCTACACCGAACAATGTAACACCTCCCTCTGGACTGACCGACGAGCGTACTAATTGCCTTAGATTTTGGGAAATTTTCGCAGTTTTCCTAAGTGAATCGTTTCGCTTTTGTCGGTTTTCCACGAATTGCTGAGATCGGCTACGTTTTCGGGAGATTCTTTCATTTAATTGATCCAGTTTTAGTTGTTCATTCAATTGAACTTCACGCCAATGTTCTTCGTGTTGCAATTGCTCAACGCAGTTGTCGTAACGCAAGCGTTTCAAATAGTTTTCCAAAATTTGATTACGCAATCGATCGGCTCGTTTAAGTCGTTCGGTAAGACGTTCACAAATTCGATCCTTTTTTAATACTTCATTCAATTGTTGCCCCTCGTGTTGGAGAGAGACAGCGTCAAGTTTTCTCTGATCATCGCAACGTTTCTGATTGACGGCCATATCGCGCTCGGCACGCAACGACTGCAAACGTTTGCGGGTGCAAGCGTCTTTATGCTGCAAAGATTTTTTCAAGTGTTGCAATTCGATTAGATCTCGCTGAGCGATTTCGTTGAGTCGTGTCTTCGTCTGCAAGTAATCCTGGAATTGTTTGTCACGGACCGCCTTTTTGTACTCTTCCATTTGCTCGCATTTAAGCAGCTCACGTTCGTAGCGCTCATTCTCCCAATACTTGCGAGCGAGCCAGGCATTTTCGTTGGCTATCGCTTGTTCGTTTCGCTTAGTCGCCATTCGGTTAAGTATACGCTTATCATGTGCAGGTACTTTTAAATAAGCTTCACGGACTGTTGGCACCAAGCAGAGATTGGCCATCGATTCACTTAAACGTATCGGTGGCAAGCTGCTCGAGTCCGTTTCATTTAGGCACGACCAATGCGGTGGTGGTGTCTTGGAAGATCGCATTTTTTCTTTGCTTGTTGCTGCGGTATCTTTGGAAGTTTCGTTGTTCTTTACTTTGCCATTAATTTTTAAATGAGACGTGTCATCACATTCTAAGGATCTCAAAAGGTCGCGAAGAATTTCGCAATCTCTAGTATAATGAATGCTCTCTGAGCAAGAACTGTGACTTCGTAGAGAGCACACGCTTTTCGAACGCTTCTTTTCTTCTTTACTGGATCTCTCCCCGAATAATTCATCACAGGTTTTCAGTTTCACAATTGGCCGTGTCTTGTTATGTGTATTAGTATATTCGTTTGTTGGCAGTGTCGATTGTTGGTTTCCACTTTGCACTGGCATGGAAGCATTTTTCTTCTTTTTTTTCTTAATTTTCGCATTCTCTTTTTTCATTCGGCACTCGTCAGCTTGCAATTTCTGTAAACGAGCATCAGCTAAATCCTCGTTGAGCTGACTGCTATAGCAATCACAGTGACATATATCACAGCAACTTTCGATCAATGGCAAACTGTCCACCTGTTTTAACCACTTGAGATGTTCTTCGACACGAATATCACAAAGTGAATAATGATGTTTCGTATACATTGTATTATGCATTTTATATTTGAAATTTGAAATTTTTCTTCAAATCCGCTTAAAAAAAAAAAACTGTCTTTCACGATGATTTCGTTTACTTATTCTTGTCGTTCCTTTTCTTTTCTTCTTTTTCATGTATTCACTTTTAATGCAAAGACTAAAAAATAATTCTCTTCATTTTGTTTTTTAATATTATTTATACATTTTTTAAAATAATATTCACTCCTCTCCAGCTGTGTTTCATTGCGAATGTCGTGCTATTTACAAATTAAATTTCCAAAATTATTGCATAGGATCCACTATTATTTGTAACAATCAGCGCAATAATAATCGCATTGAATTCTTTCACTTTCTGTATTGTTTCTTTATTGATTTCGTCGATTTGGTCACGCGCTGCCATGGTTACATATTTAAATCATAGGAGCCCTACATAGTCTATACACTCGTTCACGTTGAACTCGGCATGTAATATATATATATATATATATATATATATATAATACAGAGAGTACGCATTTTTAAATAGAGGGAGTGTGATGGAATTTCTTTTTAACAGTGTTGTATCTATATGTATATATATATATATATATATATATATATAAGTTTTTATCATAAACTCACATAAAGTAAACAAAAGTAATTTATTACTGTGTAGTAGGTTGGTTTTTTACGTAAATGAATAAATAAAAATTTCTATCGTATAAACTTTAAACGTTACGCAACAAAATATATAATAATAATAAATAGAAATTTGCAAAAGAAAAAAAAAAACACAAAAAATTATTACGACATTACTTTCAAATGAAATGATATTTTTTTATATTAAATATTAGGTTTTTGCCAAAATTTTTATCATTTTTTGACATTTATTGCGGAAAACTGTTACAATCTATATACAAATCAAATTAGTTTCCATTATTGTCTACGACATTTTACAATATTTTTGGCAACATCGAGAGATCATGTCGGAAGAACATGTATTGTTTGGACAGCGACCCAACCATCGGACAATTTTCGCAGTGCCGCGTGCCAATCAAGCCATGCTGCACCGATATGAAGAAGTGGCAATCAGGAGGTGTCATGTCTATTGAGTACATTGAGCGTGGTGCAGAGCTTCACTTTCGAACTGCAATAGTGTAGCTTGGACAACTCTGGCTAGTGACCAAAAAAATGGCGTTTCTGCTGTCACGGCTAAAAATCGAGACTTTTTTAAACACGATTATAACAGGCGATGAAAAATGGATTACCTATGGCAATATCGTCTGTGAAAGAAAACACATTGGCTTGATAAGAATCAACCGCAGTTACCGCATCCGAACGCAAACATCCACGGCAAAAAGATTTTAATGTGTGTACGGTGAGATTGGTGAGGCATAACGCATTACAAGGTCTTGAGATCAAATTTAAGGGTTACTGCGGATATTTACGTTTAGCAGGTGCAAACAGTGCAAGGGAAACTGCATGAAAAGTGTTCTGCACTCGTCAACTCTTCTACACGATAATCCGCGACCGTGTACAGCAAGGATGGCTCAAGAAAAAGTTCGTGAGCTTGGATGGTCTGTTTTACCATACCCATCTTACTTCTTGGACCTTGACCTTGACCTTGACCTTGACCTTGACCCCATAGAGTACCACCTTCTCTGTTCGTTACAAAACTTTCTGAATGGAGAAGCCTTTAATTCTGTAGAGCAAATCGGTTAGGCTGTCGAAAAATTCTTCCGTTCCAAACTAACCACATTTTTCAAGAAGGGAATTGATTGGAACTGCCGTGAAGGTGTAAGAAGGTCGTACATAATAAATTTATATAATTTTGTTATTGTTAATAATAAATTAATATAATTTTGTTATTGTTAATGAAAACAAAATAAATGTCTGATAAAAAAACGGAATTTACTTATGACTCGTCCTAGTATAGCAACGTTTTCTTACTTTCATAATCAATAAATAGCTTAGTTTATAATGAAAGATGTATATAAACAACATTTACTAAAACAATTAGTTAAGACGGAAAGAAAGCACTTCTTTAACTTCTGACCGAATATTGCCGAGACCGTGGTTCTTCGATATCAATTTTTCTTGAATTTCAAAATTTCTTAAGATAAGTTTCGCCGATTGATTCTCTTACTCAACTTAAGTGTATGACGTAAATGTGCACATGAGTTCAGCTATATATATATATATATATATATATATATCATTTGGTTTCTTGGAAACCAAATGATTTTTTGCACAATTTTCAGAAAAAAAGTTTAGTGATAATTAAAAATTTTAAATTAATTTTGAAAATGAAAAAAAAAAAAATTCCTTTTTTCAAAATGTCAAGTGCCTTGAAACGTTGAACCACAGGTAAATATATTACTTATTACAATTTTTTTTTTTGTTTCTTTTGCTAAATGCTGTGTGTAACAAATTAATGCGAAACTTTCTTTAATAACCCGCTCCACGAAAAACAAAGACAACAATACAAAAAAAATCCATTGAAAAAAAGAAAAAAATCTTAAAATTTTTATTGATATTTTGCAAAATTTTTCTTATTTATTTTTATTAACTAAATTTGAAGCTTTTTTTTTTGTAATAACATATATATCTATATATATATATATATATATATATTTATGATTATTAAAAAAAAAAAAAGGAAATTCGTTTTATTTTCACTTTTATTAATAATGAAATTCTATTGATTGACTTTCAGCAAAACGCAAATCAATCTTAAAGTTATTTGGAACAATGTCGACTTACATCACCATCATCATATCTTAGAAAATGTACAGTAATATTATGGAAAATCGATTGGTCTTGATAAGTATTGCGCTGGTAACTTTAGCGTCGCTAACGGCCGGTTGTTCGTCGCGTACTCTACCAAAACCCCGACCGACAACGAGTATACCGACAAGCACTATGTCGACACCAAGGCCGAATATTACATTTCCTATATTTAATTGTCCGCCAACGTATGCGGCCTGGTATTGCTTAAATGACGCGACTTGCTTCACAGTCGAGATACACAATGAAATTTTATATAATTGCGAATGTGCGAATGGCTTTATGGGACCGCGTTGCGAATATAAAGAAATCGACGGCAGCTATTTACCGACACGTCAACGTGCAATGCTTCAAAAAGCAAGCATAGCAAGTGGTGCCACCTTGGCTTTACTCTTTATGCTAATACTTTGCCTATCCTTATATATAAGGCATGAAAATCAACAGAAAATGAAACTGAACGAAAGTTCAAATTTGTCACACGAAAATCCCGGCCTCGATGAAATTGATGGCATAACGAAAATAGCTGCAATGCGCCCATTCGGACCCCATCATTATCAAATTTTGCCATTGGCCTCAGCATTCAAGCGGTAAAATCTTTAACGATAACGAAGCACTTTGCAGTGTTATATGGAGCAGGCAGGCAGCTGTTACCTTAAGATCATTTTATTTCAAATATATTATATATTTATTTAAAATAAGTATTTTTTTTTTAACTTTTTCAAATTATATTAAAAAGTTTTTTTTTTTTTTATTTCTATTTTGCTTTTTTAAAGGCCATAAAATGTTGTGCCTCCCAACTTTTGTTTTTCACAAAATGTTAAAAAAAAAAAAAAACAAACAAAAGTTTTAGAATTTTTAGCAGAAAAAAGACAAAAGATACGAAATGTATTATGTTGCAATACAACTTTATAGTATTATTTTTATTAGCCATAATTAATTTTTTCCGTACAATTTGGAAAAATTGTTCCATGTTTTTATTTATTTATTTCTTCTTTTTTTTTTTTTTTTTTTTTTTTTGCTATTTTAATAATTGTAAAAAAGTTTTCTTTCATTTACAATAATTTATTTATTAAAAAAATTGTATTACGTTTAGTTTAGAAATTTGCTTTAATAACTAAAGAGCCTATTTATGAGTAATAAAGTAAAAAACAAAAATGTTAGTATTTTTAAATTGAAAAAAAAAAAACAAAACGAAACGGTTGAAAATAAATTGATCTTTATGAGTACTCGTTACGTGAACATAGGCTACACTTTCCTATCCGATATATGAACTTGTTTCGATTTATTTAAGTTTCTGAAATATATTTAATAAACTAATTTGCTTTTAAAACAACATGAATTTTTCTATCTACACTGCAATTGCGGATTTCTCCTACCATCTTTCATTTTGAACTCGCATCTTCTTAGGCTTAGTTTGAATATAGTAACAATTCGCTTACATCATCGTATGTCCGTATTGCTTCTTTTTCCGCGACCTATAGCAGTTATTTACTTATCGGAAATTTGTCTTAGCTTATATGAAATGGCAATGAAAATAACTCTTACCGGTGCACAGATGACAAAGAATTGCCTTTGTAATCATTTTCTTTCATTTAATATTTCTATTCAATCGAATTCAATTTTTTTCTTTTTATGAATTTAAAAAAAAAATAAATAAAAAGTAAATATGCAATGACAAATAAAAAAAAATAAAAAATTTGTGGAAGCATTGGTAAAGGTTAAAAAAAAAAAATAAATTATATTTATATATGAAAAAACATATTTAGAAAGTAATTTTAGCAAAAATTGTTCACAATAATTATTTAATATATTGTTTTTGACTTTTTTTAGGCAAAGCTATCGATAATAATGGCAGATAATAATCGAAGTTCATCCGATTCTGAGTTGGGTCCTCCGAAGGCCGATTTTAGCGCACCTCCGCCTTATGAACTGACCAATAGTCATCAGATCATTGTTTCTTCGACACATAATCAAGTGCCGATGCAAGTGCATATGCCAGTTGCATCCGCAAGCGATGATGGGAATTTCATACAAACACAGCAGCAGCATCAGCATCAGCAACAGCCTGAACAACAGCTTTTGCAAAATGAAATACCATTACATCAAAGAAAATTGCCAACTTATGAAGAAGTTCAAATGGAGAAATCTTTAAATGGCGAATTGCCGCCTGGATTTCTAACAGCACATACATTACAACCGCCACCACCACCACCTCCACCCAATCCTTTACTTGCCAATATACGTGATAGCAATAGTCGTACATCGAGATCGAGCGGTACTGCACCGGCTCTAACATTTATCGCAATCGATGCGTCCGAAGCTGAGAACTTAACAAACAGTACGGACAACAATTTATTGGGCACCGACATTATGTTTATCGCAGCATTTATGGTCGCTTTTCTTTTTAATTGGATCGGTTTTCTTATGTTGACCTGTTTCTGTCATACAATAGCTGCTCGCTATGGCGCTCTATCCGGTTTCGGTTTATCTTTGGCCAAATGGACATTGATTGTAAAACATTCTACCGACTTGGCATCGCGAGATAATTCCTGGTTGTGGTGGTTGATAATGGCTTTTGGCTTTCTAATTTGCGTACGCGCCTTAATGCAATATGTCAGCATTAAGCGTACTTGGTGTTTATTGTCTACATCAGCGCAAGAACGTTTCTTCTTCTTTTATTAAGTTTTTTCAAAGAAAAAAAAAAAAAAAAAGGAAGAGCTTCTCAAACGACCCAATTACTCATAATTTATTTTTATCTAGAAGCACAGATTTATCTTTGAAGAATTATTGCTTTTACGTTTTCTTTTCTCTCCTTTTTTTTGTTTTTTTTTTTTAGAATTTTTAAATGTATTTAAATAAATATTTAGAAATTTTTTCAGATGTTTTTTTTTTTTTTTTTGGGGTTTTTTTTTTTTTTTTTTTTTTTCTTTTTTTAGTGAAAAACACACCACACACCCAAACTTGTTAAATACATACATACACGTGCATAATGTTATAAAATATTGTAAAGAAAAATTCTTGTGTTTTTTTTTTTTTTTTGTGTGAAAATTATATTTGAAATTAATTATTAAACATTTCATTTTTTATCATTTTATTTTACCAACTTTGGTAATCAAGTATTGTATTCGAAAATTTCTTCAAAGGACATTGGTACTTAAACAAATATAAATATAATTTAATAAATTTATACCTGTCTTCCTACCATTTTATATACAATTAAAAGTATATACATAGGTAAGTGCATTAACAACAATACACTTGCAAACTTTTTATTATAATAAATTTCTTAAGTATTTTTAATGCATAAAAACCAACATAGGCACGAAAATCGGTTCAATTTGGCCGCAAGCTTGATTGATCAGGAAATCCAAAGAAAAAAAAAAAACCAAAACATTTCTTATTTATATGCAATAATGTGCACATTAAGATTGTTGCTCCTTGCCACCTGAAAGTGCGCTATTGCATGCAACTAATCCTTCTTAAGGGGCTTAGCCAAGTGTGTACAGCTTTAACGCTCGGCGTTCGGGCGTGTACTAACGTCTTTTTATACTCATCACCGAAGAAGGAGGACCGGTATATTCATTTTGTCAAAATGTTTGCAACATCAGATATCCCACTTATTCTCGATCAATATCAGTCTGTCCGTCTGTCTAATATCTGTTTTAATCATACTCCTGGCCACAAAAATGAAGCTATCGATTTCAAATTTGACAGAAACAATGGAAGTTCTTGCGCGCGGTTTGGTATTGAAAATGGGCCAAATCGGTGGAAGGACATGCCCGTAGCGCCACGTTAACTAAAAATATATCTGTTTTCAAAAACTCCATAAAGTATACAAATCTTGAATGCACTTAAACATGTCTGCGTATTCGACTGTCCGTCTGTCTGTTTGTGTGACTTTCGACCGCTGGCGAAAATGAACATATCGCCTACAAAATTTGCAAAAGAATTTAGAATTGACCTAAACTTTTCAAAGGACTCGCCTACGACGCCCGCAAATTCTTATTGTGAAAATAGAAGAAATCAACCCCGCGCCCACTCCATATTGAAAAGCATGCAAGCATTTGTTCTTCTACTTCGATTGTCTACTTTTGGGGTAAACCGTGACAGGTATAAAAGATTCGATCCCGGCCGGATTTAATTTTCTTACTGGTTTCTTTTTTGTTTCGCATTGTATTCAATCTGTTTCTCATCATTCGTTACTTTTTCTTAAAACTAAGCATAAAGTAAAACTTCGCGTGTCCTGTTTTGTTTTGTTACGTTATATTCACTTAAGTCATTTAAAGCGTAAAGCTAGAACTGTCTCGACCTGTCTCAATATCATGGTTTCATTGCTTGCCAGACAAGTGTGGCGTACTGTGTGACGGGCGATGAAAAGTGCATCTAGTACGATTCAAATCCAAGCGCAAAAAATTCATGGGGGACGAGGAGCAAGCATACAAGGCATCCTCTTGTAATGATAAGGCTCAGCAACACGTTGCAAGAGGTGCAAGGCATACACTGTTGCAGCTCGAATGGGAAGTAATACCGCACCCAGCGTACTCACCGGATAAGGCGCCTTCTGATTACTATTTACTATTTATTCAGCTTCGATGCGGTATGGCTTCAATGGCCTGCGGTTACGAAATGCTGAAAAAGTGCGAAAATGTTTCGATGATTGGATCGCTGCCAAACCAATATAAGATCTTTTGACGCAGTATGGCGCGGTATATATATATATATATATATATTGAGCTGATTTTTTTCATTAAATACATTTTTCAAGTGGGAAAAATGATCAATATATGTGCAAGCACCTAAACGAATGCTTTGTTGTGTCACATTTTCAATAATCAAAAAGGGATTTCTGTCAAGTTTCAAATTAAAATTGGAATTGATTAATCGAAAGACAAGCGTTAGCGATAAGCCAAACTTATTCGCAGCTCAATTTTACATTAAAAAGTATTGCTTAAGAGATGCGGGACGATTCTGCAAATTTTGTCACTTTCTTATCGGTATTCTTTTTATTGATATATTTGTTCAGATATTTTCGCTTTCATTCACATTTTATCTTTACAGTGTATATATATATATCTTAATACAATCGTGTTTTTTTTTGTTTTTTTTCATTTCATTTCTTCAACTTAATTGTCCCTCTTAGGCATGGATTGGGTACTTTGCTAAGTGGATTTAGTAAAGTTTCTTCCATGGCATAATTTCGCAAGAGCGTAGAATATGTTTTCCAAATAAATAATCTTTCAATTTATTTATAAGATAGAACGATAAGCCAAAGAATGAAACAAAATATAACCAAAATTGACTTAATCTTTCCCATACGCTCACATGGTAGCGAACGCTCGCCTGTCCAATATCCAAATGCAGTTGGACAGTCAAGCCGAGTTCTGGTGGACATGCCTCATAGTTAGTGCTTAATAATTTCAATTGAAAGTAACCCGGTTGAAGTTCCAATTGTTGTAGCAAAAATGATGCCCGATATTGTTGAAAGTCGCTTCTACTTTGCGGATTTATTAAGATGGTGTTAAATTGCGATCGAATATTTTGTCCTAAATACGGACACACAAATTCAATGTTCTGTTTCAGAAATAGTTCGGCATTAATTGTTACAATTCCGCTGCGAAATTGATTTGTCGAAGGTACATCGATGTGTGCGATCAAAATCGCTGGCGGGGATAAACTACATTTGTGCTGAAAATAGGGCGGGGAGAGAGGGAGGGAAGATATTAAGATTGAAATCAATAAGAATTGAGATGATTCTTCAGTAACCATCCATTAATTATTTCTAGGGGGAATAGTTGACGTCATTTCTTGCATCCGTTTTGGGCGAACTCACGTAGAAAATCGATTAAAATACACGATTGAACTCGCGAAAGTTTCGTGAAATTTGTAAATATTATTTATCGAAATTCGACTTAGCTTTCATAAGTATTAGATAGTCCAGAATTTCTTGCGGTCAAAATTGGCGTAAAACTGGCGTTTAAAATATATATAGTCATGTAGAGCGGACTTATGTTTAAAGTGATCGGTTATGTTATGGTGCAGTAGACGTAAGTAAGTATCGCGGGAATAATTTACCCTGGCATATTTGACGCATGTCAGCATTTCCGATCCAATTCCAAAAAAGTAGTTTTAAAAGGCCGACTGACTACTTACTAGTAACTTACCTCATATCGCCTAATACAAATTCAAGATAAATACAACAACAAAATTATAACTTGGATGGATTAAAATGTGAGCGGGCATGGCCCAAATTTAGCTGAGGATCTTCTTACTTTTCACCTACGTTCATCGTAAATTGCTAAAGTACTTTATGAAAGTTAACTTTCCCTGAAAATTTGTGTATGTGAACAGCGGTTTGGAAGAATAGATCTACATGGTATAAATTTGTTGTTTGCAATTAATTTCCGTGAATTGATTCTTATGAGCCAACCTTCATCATAATATATTAAAAATAAGATAATTTTATCATATAAAGATTTATTTCTCGTAGGAACTGTGAAGGGGTTTAAAAAGCTAAGCCATCTGATTGCAATCAATTGCACATCACTTTCGAAGATTCGAAATACTATTATTATTCAGCATTTTTGTCTGCAAAGAGATATTTTCATCGAACGGCCTTCCCGGAAAAAGGCGCCATAATGAAAATGCCATGATCCAATACGTTTAAATAGGATTCGTCTTTGGATAGAATTACAGAAGCAACGTATCAAAATTCGTCAAAGGGAGTACAACCTGGACAGACATCCATTTATGATTTTCAGCTATGCTTAATCGGTCAATATAATAAAAGTCGAGATTATTTTAAGTCCTTCTCTATATATAATACATTCCGTTTAAATTCATTAAAGATTTGAAAAATTTTCATACCAAAGATTTCAATACATTTTAATCATTATTCTAAGAGCCATGTCGCATGCAGAGCTGAATTTTATTTCAAACAGTTACTTGCGTTTTACTCTCACTCACGCAATTGACGGAAAACTTTTGTAAAAGTATTCGATACTTGGAACTCGTTTCAGGTCGTATGCAGCTAGCTCTCTTACGTGCTCTATTTATTTTTGAATGTGGCTTTTGTTCAACTGCAACGAACGTAACCTCAAAAATATTTCAACAATTTTCAGTTACTTAAAAAATGCGGATTTTCAAGAAATCATTTCCTGATTGAATTTTAAATCCCTCCATCAAGTGATTGCCTACCTATTAAACTAAATTTACGCCTCGAATTTCCACCAATTTTAATATATTTATAAAATTGTGCGTTTTCAAAATTTTCAGAATTTTTTCTTAATCCATTTCCTTGTTTCGGTCATAATTCTTTTGCAAAGCGATCCCTTTTCCCGTCAACTTATGTTTGCTTATTCAGATGTAGGAATAACGTGGCATTAAAATGCCCCCGAAAGTGTATCGGACATTTTTCTATATATGATTACGAACGAGTCCGTGCCATTAACGCTGCCCGGTTTTCAATGAGTTGCCTTATAGACTAACGTCTCGTATGAATTTAATGCATACAATTTCAATCTTACTTTTCTTCTTAACTATCCCGTTGATTTCTTAGTATAACATTTTTCATTGTAGGCCTTGCGATCCATCTGTCCATCGTATATACGTATATATATATGGATACGTAAACGATAAGGTAATGGCCAATAAATTCAAATTTGCCTAAGTAGATTGGATTGCACAAGAAAATCTTCGTCACATTCCGAAATACTGCAATGAAACTCACCTTTAATTTGGCTTGCATCACTAAAATCCATTCCAAGCTAGTTAGATTACGTTGCAAAGAATCGATTTTCTGTAGAAAGTGTACGCGGTCTGGTATGCCATCCTTATCGAAATCATTCGTCCAATACTAAATAAAAAAACCGTTTCAATTTATTTGCTTAACATGTTTTCACAAAAATTTCCGGCTAACCTTTAGACAGTCACATTTATCATTGAGAATTTCATTTAGTTTGGGATAAGTGCTGCACAAGTGAAAATTTGCAAAAATATTTTTAGTTTTCCAACTTTTGTCATAATTCGTCGTTTTTGCCATAAAAACGGATTTATATTCAAATTCCATGCGTGGCTTCTCGTAGACTACACTTGCTTCCATATGAGGATTTAGAAGTGATATCAAAAATATCGGTATCATAAGCGAAAGTAAGAACAAACTTATGACAATAATGCTGGCTCCAGAGCATAATCTATTCTTATAAATAATAACGGTATTTTTGGTATGCAACGGTATAAACTTCATTTTCCCTTCTTTTTTTTTTTTTTTTTTTTTGCAAATTAATTTTAGTATAAATTAGTTGCGGACATATTTCATGGCTTTTCTTTGCGTTGATTTTTTGTTGAAAATTCCGTTGCCATGGTTTTCAATCATAGACTACTTTGAAAAACACGTTCACTGTCAGATGTTTCGAAAAGGAAAGGCAGCGAAGGCGAATAAATAATCATATAACTGAAAATCTTTCAGCTTTCATGGTCAGCTGTTTAGCAAAAACAGCTTGAAATGGAAGGGCGAGTTAAAGAGAAAGAGAAGTTTTTCATGCGTGATTTGTTGTTTGCTTGAAATACGGAAAAATGAGATAACATAAACATCAAAATAGTCAAATAAGGCAAAACTGTTCTTCGAAACTCTTTCCGCTTTCATTAGCCTTCTATTGTTTTACTTTACAACCGGAAGTAGCGCGTAGGCGCTATAACGGAGAAATAAGAAAAAGTCATCATCAATAGGATTGTGGAGGAGAAGTTCACCAGATGAGTAAAAGTATCAAGTGATGCGACAGGAAGAGGAACAAAGGCAAGGACGAGAATTTGAAGTAGTGCTAATATAGGATCGAGTTGGCTTTATAATGCTTCCCTGGCAACTCATGCAACGTGTAGTCGCGCCTTTGTCATTGCAAGAGGGGAACTTATACGTCTGCTAATCGCTATTGCTGGTCTTTCTTGCAATAATATATCGTTCAATTTGATCAATTGATATCGGTTGACATCTGCGATAACAGTTTCATTCGGTTTTGGTAGCTCGTAATAGCAGTACAGTTTGCCGAACCCACCATACACCGCACAGAAAAGCTTTATGGCGCATGATTATTCCGCTTCGGTGTCGATAAGGATGGCTCTCCGCGAGCCATGCGCTTAGAATTGTCGTAAAATATCCACTTCGTACAAATAGGTCTTGCAAGCCATTCTTTAAACCAAATAACAAAAGCAATGAATATCGAAAAGCCAATTTTGAGCCATTTCCAGGATTAGCGCTTATATACACTGAATAACTCATCTGTTATTTTATGTGGAGAACGGTCAAAATCATCGACTTTAACCATTGCTTACATATATACTTTGCATTATTTTATCATATTCGCCAATAGATGTCGCCGATCGAAATACATGCTAGCATCTATTAGATTACTTTTGGAATAAAATTTTATTCCTCGTGTTTTTTTCATGCTATGAACACTTATTTTATTCGGCAGAGAGCGGATTCGCGTATACTACGACAACCAAGCCCACTTAAATTCCTTAAGGGGCGAATGAAAACATCTAGGCTGATGTTGGAGTGCCTTCGAACACTGAATGCGCTAGTTAGGCACAATGATACGGATTTCAATTGGGCACCCGGACATTCGGGTGTTGAGGGCATCGAAAGGGCTGACAGTGTAGTCAACTGGGGAGCCCGAGTGGCGTGGCAAGAAGCCACTTTAATGGGCAAAGAATAAAGCGGACTATCGTTGGAAGCAATTTGCAGGAAAACGGCAGGTAAAAAGATTCATAAAATATTCCGGTGGGGCTCACAAACTATTGGAATTAAGACGAAGCGACCTATGTTTAGTCATCGGCTTTTACACGGGTCATAATTTCGCCAGATACCATCTGAAAAACATGGGTATGTTTCATACCGATTCATGCAGATTCTGCCAAGGGACGACTGAAATATGCCATCATATTTTTTGTGAATGTGAGGCCAACTGCAGAATCAGGCAACAAGTGACCGACGAGCATTTTACTATGCCGGATACGGTATGGTGTTTCGATCCAAACAAGGTTGCAGAGGGACATGGGCGAGTACAATAGATCTTCTAGTGTCTCAGTACGCCTTGCCCACGCAATTAATAATAGTAATTATTTTATTATGTTCTTTCTTTCTTATAATCATTGCTTGAATTCAGTTTAATGAGATAATTGGATTGTTTCCTTATCGCATTTACTTGAGATTCATATAATTTGAGAAAAATGCGCAGGTGCAACAGGACAAACTGTTTCCTCACATTGTGTGCTTATCCTTCTCGTTTAGTACCGAGGTAATTAATCCTTGCCCACACACGCAATATGAATAAATGAGAATAAAGAAAACATAAATAGATAAATAAATGAATAAATAAAAGCAAAAAACGAAGAAGGCGAGGAATACTTGTTTACACATTTCCGGTTTTCATATAGTAAAAGTTTTAACAGCATAATCGTATTTTTACTTAAATTAAAAAGAGCTTAATTAAAAGCTTCTGTATTCAAACGAGTAAAACTTTATTTTAATTAAGTTCGTTTTGATCATTCGCTGCTACAAATAAAGAAACCGAACTAACCGACTGCGGCATTAACAACGATCATCTCAAAGAAGATAAGTAAGCAAGCGAACAAGTAAATCGTGGCGGTTAAAATTACAATTTATACTTCTATTAGATAAACACAATTACTGATGCATTCACGTATACACAGCCGATTAGCACATACCAATAATAATCCACGCAGTGATAGTGAAAGAAAGATCCATTCTCCATAACTAGTTACTTTTATTAAAAAAAAACAAAACAAAAAACAAAAAAAAAAAGAAATCTTATAAATAATAAAAAAGAAGAAGAAAAAGATAAAAGTACATGCAAAAGTTAAAATCGAAAAAAAAAATAATAATAATAATAATTGAAGGAAATAAATAAACGAAAATAAATACAAGAATTCCCTTTCCTTTGTTGAAAGTTGAACAAAAATAAAAAAAAAAATAATTAAAAATAAAAAAATTTAGATGACTGAGTTGAACGATATATTTGAAGACGGGAAACTAAACTGTAAAACAGAAACCGGATTGATATAAGGCATCAAATAATGAACAGTCAATAGACCGATGAATTTTTGCGCTTGCTAAATATTAAAAAAAAAAATATATATATATTTATATATATATATATATATATATATAAGTAAATAGAAAAAAAAATTAATATCAATTAAACTCAAGCAAATGATGAGAATAATAACTTCAACTAAAAGGCTAAAGGAAGCGTAACGAAAATTAAAATTATTATTAAGAGAGAAGAGTTTGCCAATTGATCAGTGCGATCGTGGCCGGGATACAATTTGTAAATATTGAAAATAAAAAAAAAAAAGGAATAAATAAACAAATATATGTAAGAAAATCACATCAAAAAATTGACATCTCTTAAAGCGCATTCTGTTTCTTAACGTTATAGGACAAATATATAGTACTTAAGAGCGAAGATGATAAGATTTAGTATAAGAGCCATATTTTAGTTTAGAATTCATGTCTGATTTTTACGATTACGAACTCATAAATATGGCTAAAGTTAACTTGTTCGCTAAGTTCGGCGAACTTTAACGGTAATGCAAATGTGAGAAAACTTTGCGCATTGATCTATTTTCCAATCACTCCAAAAAAATGAGTCCTTTAAGAATTTAAAAATAAAAGGAAAGCAAGAACTAGATATCACGCATGTGAATCCCTTGAAACTTTTAATAAACTCACTCATCGATCTTCATAGTTCTCTAAAAATAAAGGGAATAACGTGAACTAGATATTGCCTCACGCATATCAATCACTTGAGATTTTTAATGAACTCTCTCCTCGATCTTAATAATTCCCCCCACAGCTTTCTGTTTCGTGTCTTTTACAAATTTTCCGTCAGGAGGGTTATGGAAAACTTGTTCGCATTAAAGGGGGCGATTAGAGAGAGTCTCTTGTTCCATAAAGTAAATGATCTTAAATTTCGATAATCTGAGCATTCGTTATAGAAATCAAGAAAAATCGTTCTCCAAATTATTTGATCCTGTATCTGTTAATGATGAAATTTTCGCGCATTATAAGCTTTCCATTAATATTTATTATATATGGTCTTGGACACATAAATAGAAATGAAAAAAAAAAAATTTTGAACACAAAAAATTCTTTACTTTAAATAAAACATATTTGAATTTTCGATAAAATAATTTAAAAATTTTTACATAATATGCTTAGATATTTAGAACATGGAATAACTAAAAAATTTCATACCTGCACATATAAGAATAAAATTCTAAAAATTATATAATTAAATATTTGTTTACATATATATATATATTTTTTTAAATTTTAATTTTCAATTTGTACTATTTATGTGTTCGTGGCTGTACTATATATACCGTCACATTCTCAATTAACCATTATTTGTTGTATTTGCTTCGTTTATTAAACTTGAAATTAACCGGTTCTTGCATTTGGAATTGAAAAATGAATGAGATTCACGCGTAGACATATAAAATATAAATAAATATTGAAAGACTGATATAATCTCTCAAAACTTCATAATTGCTACATACGTTTACAAATAGCGAAAATCGTTTTTCAAACTTGACACCGATACTTATTATGCCCATGTAAATATGTTAAGTAAGAGTGGACCTTGGTTAGTTCATTTATTTGTTTGTCACAATTTCAAAAATCCAAAGATTCATCATGAGCTACTCCTCCAACTATATATATATATATTTTTTTTTTTTTCGTCTTCTTCTTCTTCTTCTTTGTTACATATCAAGAAAATATTGAAAAAATTCTCAATTATAATAATAAGCGAATGAATAAAATGTAATGGTGTATGGTGACACAGTTTGAAAAAGGTTCCAATATTAATTCCTCATCATATAATTACGAAAATTGTGATTTATTGAAAAATGGCCTTATCGAGGACAAGTTTAATGTCAATTCTATCTCTTGCTTGTATTCTATTTATGAATACAATGAATATTAAAGCTTCTACCGAATATAATCGTTATTTAGCTCATATATTTCAAAAGTATGGTGATGGTGGCACCATGACATTCGAGGTAAGTTTTTTTCTTCTTTACAATAACAAAAATAAAAAATTTGAAATCAGATTTTATTTTGCAAATAAAAAATTCCCCTTATTTTTTGAACACACTTTTTTTATAATTTATGCCGCATCCGCTGCATATTTTTATGCAATTCAAATATTTAATATGTTAGGCTATATATGTCACCATTGTGTTTATAATATTTTTATAAGAAAATTGTATTCATGTTGAAGCGTTGATGCATTTATTCAACACGTCAAGCCTTACACTTTAGTTAATTATGGGAAAGTCAATATTCCGATAAAAGGTATCTTTAATCTACGCCTTTATATCTGCTTTATATACATTCAAGCTTAAGTTTAGTCCGACAAGTCGTATAGATCGTTTCACTCTTCCAACTGTATTGAACTCGCTTGTCCGCTTTCGCATATCCAATATACTTTCAAAACTTCTTCACTGAGAGATTGAGATGTTCCTCTTTATTTTGCATATTTGGAAAAAGCGGAAATATTGATTCTTGGCTAAGAATGGTTTCCTGGGGCAAGCATCCATCAGCATATGTAAAACTAATTGCAAAGCAGGGGTGGGCAACTGTTCTCATCAATGGGCCAATTTGAAGTTTCCGTTTCCAGGGGCGGACGACAGAAGAGATTGCATGGAAAATTTTTGTTATCATCATTTAATAAAATGAATACAATAAGCTTATCATGTACTCACACTCCAGTGTGATGGATTAAACTGGGGGAATGTTTCCGATTTATCATGACATCATGGCATTAGCAATTCGAACAAGTGATTCTAAATTTTCATTTGTTATTCTAGAATTGATTTTGCTCTTTGTATGCAATCTAAAGAATGACATATATTTTCATGCAATATCCAGAATATTTCGAAGGATCTCTCGATTTAAAGAAGCATAAAATCTCAGTATTGCTTTTTTAGTAAATTGTCTCATCTGCGTATTGGATCGTTGTAACATTAAAGGCAAATGGTAGACTTACTAGTAAAAGATCGTAAGACATATATTTTTTTTTTTTGAAAATCGTCAAATCTTTGAAGAAAACTCTTTGAATAAATGAATTTTATTATGATCTTATCATTGTTTCTTAAAGTTGGGAAGTGAAGCAATTGTTACTTTTGAAAAAATGTTGTGATAATAATTTTAATAATCTCGTAAATGTTGCATACATGTCATCCCTTGTCTTGTTCTGAGAAATTCAATTCATTTAATTTTCCAAAGTCATTCTTTAATTTTCCAAAGTCTACGACTTCATCCAGCAAATTATGGAAGCATCTTAACACTTTTGAATAAACTTGGCAAGGAATATTAATGTCATCACTTGCAGTATTTCTTAATATATGACACAATCACACAGGAGTAGCCGAGTAGGAAAGAATCACGACCACGGATTCCAGTCTCAGTATGGTAGAGTGAGTGCTAAGTCGGTAAAGGTGCATAACACTTCATTCACTGGACTGCGGCCACCACTTTGATGCCTTTCTCTTTCCTCATTTCTTTCTAGCTGTCAACGTGTTACGTGAATAGGAGACATCTTCTGAGTAAAAAAAAAAAAAAAATGTAAAAAATATTATTAATTATTTCTTTTTCCTGAATTCGCTTCATTTGTTCAATGATTCGTTTTAATAGTCCCTTTTTATACCCTACGTCACTTGTCGTGCAGGGTATATTTATTTATTGCGGTCGTACATAACACATAGAAGGGCTTACCATAGAGCCACCTTTTATTATACCGATTGATTCAGAATCATAACCTGAATTGATCTAAGCCTGGCTGTCTGTCTGTCCGTTTGTGACGTGTTTTGACTTAAGGACGAACGCTATTGGAAATGGTTCGGATCGATTTAGTTTTTCGACCGCTCCTCATATAACGACCTATTCCGCAATGCCGTTATATTGAAAAAAATTGTCATTTTCGAAATCTCTCGGCAAAAGTGGTTAAGTAGTAGTATTTCGACATTCCAAATTGGTAGAAAACTTTGGGTCAGCTGGAGCAATTTTGAACCCCCTCTCACACAACGTAAAATAAGAAAATTAATTGTACCAAATTTGGACCTACTCGGCCTATTTTTTGGATCCTACCCCATTAAGGATTTTCACGAAAATTGATCCTTTGTAGATCAGAAAAGTAAAAGTTTTAATATCTAGTGATAAGAATTGAGCCATAGTAGTAATTTCATACAATAATGAAGTCTACAAAACTTGGACCATCTACGCTTATTTTTGGATCCTGCTCTATGTCAGGATTAAACTCCTGCTACAGTAGGTTGCGTTTTGGGCCAGCTTCCCCATAAATACGCTCTTGAAAAATTTGTCTTTATTTAGAAACAAGATATAGTTTTTGTGTCCTATAGTAAAACTAAGAATTGTGTTAGACAATATGGTATAGTGTGGTTAATGGTCGGATTTGCCTGATTGTAACCGTCTTATTTGTCTCTTTTTTATAGGCAAGTGAACACGAGAAAACACGTAAACAGATTTCCCAAATGCACAGCAGAAACAATTGATTTGCAGAATTGCCATATGTGAGAAAACTGAATCATTTGAAACTTTAAATAAAATGAATCGGCGGTTGGCCATTCCTGATTTAGAGCGTTCTAAAAAAATAAAGTAAACATTCTATTAAACTGTCACCTATATATGACACAGTGGGAGCGAAAGAGTTGAAATTTAATTATTAAGTGTTTGCAAAAATTTTGATCACCTTTTCACTTGAAAAAAGCAGTTATTGTAGGAAAATGGTATAATGTATATTAATCTTCTTCTACAGTACTTTGCAATATATTTTGGCAACACGACGACATAAAGTCGAAAGAAATGATATTGGTTTGACAGTGTTTCTCCGCATAAACACATTTTCGCAATTCTTCAACTTTGCGCTATCCTGCACCGATCTGAAGAACGGTAACCAGGAGGCGCAAATGCTTCCCATTCGAGTTTCAGCAGTGTACCCTGGACAGCTTTTGCAACAAGTGGCCGAAAAATGGCATTTGCAGTCAATTCGTGTATGCCACTTTTGAAGTGTTGCGAGCAGCATCACCATAAGCCGGCAGTAGATTTCTTCAAACAAAAACCAAAAGGATTGCATTTATACTGAATAAATCAATAATATTAGAGCGAGTCTGTTATCTTAGGTAGAGGAAGGTCAATACCATCGAATTCAACCGTTATGTAAACTGGTATTTGCCATTTTTCTTATCACTTTTACCTGTAGAAAGAAGTCGCCGACTAAAATTTTTGCAAACACCTGATATAATCAAATCACCGGAAATCGGTCTAAAAAGGGACAGAATGACGACAAAAGACGAACTTTAATTTGCATCATTTTTCACAATGTCTGGGGCTACTACGTCAAACGAGTCCAATCCATATAAAGTAACATAAGTCCTCACCATATAACTGCTTTTTCTATGGGAAAAATTTTTATATTTATATTTTTAATATTTTAAAGAAATTAAGCGATAAAAGCAATTGGACATTAAAAGCTTTCCGATATCAAATATGGACTACGTCAGTTTAAGTGATGTAAGGTAAAGTATTTACGAATCGACCTTACGACCGACTACATATCACGTTTTTACTTGTTCTTTTGGCGTTACTAGGTCCGCTAAAGGGACAAATAAAATATTCAAAATTTTTAATTTAAATTTTGATCGCTTTATTTCGAATATCAAAAGCGAGATGGCAGAATGTGTGTGCATCGTTATGTAAAGTGCTATAAAGGGGACAACAAACTTTATATGCCTCTTGTCGTGTTTTGTATATATTTCATCATATGCTAATGGTTTGATGTGTAGATGTGAAATTCATTATTTCGTAATTTCGTTTTGCTGGTTAAAATTACTGTAGAGTTTTCACACATATATATATATACATATTTATATATGCGTATGCATGGGCAGAGAGATTAAAGTTATTATCTATTTATCTTAAAGTCAACATTTGTATAATATACGTAGGCATGTATGTATTATACATTTGTATGATTGTTTACTGCCTAAAAAAATCATTATTACGCTTAAAGACCGACTTCTGCACTTCTACTTTAATCACTTGACAAGGAATTAGTGTACAAAAATTTTCATCTTTGCATTTCCTCTGTATTCTCGAACAACTTTAAAAGTTAAATGCGAGACGCAATTGATTCAGCAAAAGTAAGAACAGCGAGAAATTGTATTCTTTTGTCTACAGCCATGAACCTATAAATAGCACAAATTTAAACTAAAACAAGTAAAAACATATAGCCGGTCAACGCCGGCCGACAATTCACTACCCTACTCCACATTGTCAAACACAATTCTTATTATAGAGCACAAAAGTTATATCTTGCAGTATAAGTTTAGTCCTTACATAAGGCAGGATCGAAAAATAAGCGTAGATGGTCCAAAATTTTTGTAGAGTTCATAACTATATGAAATTACAATTATGGGTCAATTTTCATCACCACATATTAAAACTTTGACTTTTTTTCGCTACAAAGGATCGATTTCTATGAAAACCTTTATTAGGGTACGATCCAAAAAATAGGCCGAGTAGGTCCAAATTTGGTACAATTAATTTTCTTATTTTACGTTGTGTGAGAGGGGGTTGTCAAAATTGCTCCATCCGATCCAAAGTTTTCACACCAATTTGGAATGTCGAAATACTACTACTTAACCACTTTTGCCGAGAAATTTTGAAAATTACAATTTTTTTCAATATAACGACATTTCAGAATACGGCGTTATACGGGGAGTGGTTGAAGAAGTGGACAGATTCAAACCATTTTTAATAGCGTTCGTCCTTGGACCAAAACACATCAATGTACCAAATTTTACCGAAATATCTCAAAAATTGTGATAAACGGACAGACGGACAGACGGACAGCCAGGCTTAGATCAATTCAGATTATGATTCTGAATCAATCGGTATAATAATAGGTGGGTCTGTGTTAAGCCCTTCTGTGCGTTGAATGCGACCGCACTAACTTAATATACCCTGTATCACAAGTGGT